TGCATAATCACGCAGTTCTTAACAGTTAAAAGACCTTTTTTAAAAGAAAAATCACCTTCATTATTATTATTATTTTGACTTAACATTTTTAATTATTTTCTGTGCTACAAACCCACATAAATACCTTCAACAGCCTTTCCGTCTCACTCAATTAATTTTGATTCATTAGCAAAAAATTTAAAGCAATAATAAATTTGACGAAAAGAGAGTTCGAAATTAAACTTCGTTAGATGACGAAGAACGCCGTAAATATCGTAACCATCATCTGTAACTGAACACATAATAAAGCGAAACTCATAAACAATCTTTCATTTTTTACAATTTAACAAACCTGAAACTAAAAATAAATGATGCTATTGCATCAAACCGATTATTTCTATCCAAACTAACCCCTTAATATATTTAAACAAATTATTTTGTTATTAAATTTAAACGAAAAGCGTATGTCACTTCAGTTTCAGCAGGAAACTCCATGTTAAACTTCGCTTTCACTTCAAAATGTGAACCTTTTGGGGAGGTGTCGTTGGTGACGTCGTGAAGTGACGTAGGGCTAACCTTGCAACTCGAGAAGAAGAATGCATAATTTGATCCAACCATGTAATTTAAATCACATGGTTGGGCCTAATCAAGTGGTTGTGCTTGACGAGTTACTGTATCTGTAATTCACCTTATTACCATGCTGAATCAATTTTCAGATCATATTTAATTGGTTACCTGAAAAGCGGCATCACGTGTTAGTGTCACACCTAATTGGCTTCTGAATCGTGACGATGACTGCCACGATTTACGCACGAGAATATCTCTTCCAGGTATTTAAACACTTAAACATTTGTTTTGATATTAGAGATCGAAATGGGCTATAGAGGTGCAGAGCAGTTCTCTCAATCTATGGCAATACCATTAGCGTGTGGAGAGTCGTAGGAGAAGGAAGTACGTTAGTTTCTGTCTTGATTTTCAAACAGATTTAACACTTTTAAGTTGGAAACTATATGGAACTAAAAACTGCATTAAACGTAGTTCTTAAAGAAAACTTCGTGAAAATTTTAGAAAATATTTTTGAGAATTAAATACGAAAAAAGTTATATAAAAGGAAAATATCGTATTAAATTTCCATACAACTTAGAAGAGGAGGATCAAGACATGGAACCTGTCTTCTCCCTAGATGTCGTATTCGAGCTTTGCGATCGCGAATATTTACAAACCATTTTGTTACAGCCTCTCTTATCAGTTTTCTAGTAATATTGTTAACTCAGACATAAGTGGTTTAAGTTACCTTTCCTTTTCCATATTTATAATTACTATTATTAAACACTATTTCCATAATTCAGGGAAATTTAATTATTTGACACGGTAGTATAAAAGTAGTTCAAATGCATAAGATAGATATTCATCTGAGTTCTACAACAGCTGTATTCCTGAAAGGAGATTGAAATTATTCATTTTACTAAAAATAAATCTGAAGCAAGAAATTAACGCAAAATGTTGCAAAACTACTTTATTAAATGTCTTTCCTTATATTTTTATACTAGAGAAGTCAATACTAGATAAGTAAATAGTTTTTTTAGTTTACAATAGTTTTAGAATAAGTATTGCCAGTGTAAACACACTATACCGGGAAGGATTAAAGCATTGTTTAAAGAATCCACAAACAAATTCAGATTATATATTGTTTAATTCTGATTTGGAGTTTTGTTTCAATAAATTACGAAAGTGTTTTTTTTTTAATTTATTAAAAATGGTTATCAGTATTTAAGAAGAATTATTTTAAATACCTCACATTGACTAGATATTCTCAAAAACAGAGTTCTTATGGATCTTACAAGTTTGTACTCATGATGATATAATAATTGATTATGTTATTTTGATTATGTTATTTCTAGTAAGTTCTTCCTTGGAAACTTAATATTACAAATGACTGTTGAAAAATGTACTGAGAATACAATAAAATAAAAAAAATACAACCGATACCATTAACTTTTAAATTTGACCGTAAAAAATACTATACGGACCACTTTCTAGACAACAAGAATGCAACAAAGGGTTGCTCGAGTTGAAATTTGGCGTGCTAAGAGATCCAGTTATATTTGTGTACTTAATGCGTTATTTATTTTTTTATTTATTATTTTTTTAATTTAACCACTTTGTGTGGATCTAATTGCAATTTTTAGGGGGGGGGGGGGGTTTCGCGAAAGTTTTCGCTTTTTTTTTTTCTTCCCATGGATGATGTTTTCTACACTAGGGATCGCTGCAAGCTCGGTACCGCCTAAATTTCCGGCTTACTGTTTCCGTTGTATCTTAAAGCCATTTGGCATCGTTGTGTTTTGAGATTCTTGCAAACAATGTATTTGATTACTTATTACATGTGTTAACAATGCTAACAATACCTGTGTTTACAATGCTAAAAGTGTTAACGCAAAGTGTTAATGGTGCACAGCTTGCAACAAGAACCAAACAGTAATAAACTTATGGAAAGAGGCCAAATCAAAACTGCCAAAAAAGCGAGTTATTCAAAATCTAGCAACCATGTCACCTTTTTTAATAATAAATAACAAAATAACTAAAACAAATTTTCACTCCAAACTCCCCAGAGTTACGTAATAACATTAACATGTTATGAAATACGGCAGATTTGAGCTCAGAAATTATCTAATTTATTTCTTTTATTGAAAACAAAATTATCCGTTTGAAAGCATCGCCTATCAGAATAACATGTAGTAAGCAGCTGCAAACTTTTTAACCGGAACTAGAGTAGGTGCCGAGCTCGAGATTGTTATTGTTTACATTTCTACTGAAAACACCATCCATACGTTCCATTTCGTTTCGCTGCGCAAAAACTATGAGATTTATAAAAATATTAAATCATGATGTACCGTAGAAAAAAAATACAGCACCGAAGTACAATGGAATAAAAGAATAATATTCGTCAATTAGTTCGAGAATTATTAGCTGTTAAACTTGTGGTGAAATATGCAATATGTTTGGTCAATATATAGCCAGCTTAAATAAGTACGAAGTTAAATTAGATATGCTGAAAAAGCCATTTTTATTTGAAAACTCAACGCGAATTTTGCTTGGAAATTGTAATTTGTTCGAATGTTATCGCAAATTTAAGTGGTTTAACATTCTTTTCAGCTTTTTTGCTTTATTAATTGTTAATTCATTTTTCAAGTAAAATTTATTTTCCCCTTGCGATATCTTTATTTCTTTGTTTTATAAGCTCTCACTCGAGTAGATATCAATCAAAAATAGCAACAACAAAAGAAGTGAGAGAGAGAGAGAGAATGCATGTTGTCAGATATAAATCTTAACATTTACATCGAAATTTTTAAAAATGAAAAAATAAAAATTGACAAATAGCGATAAAAGCCATTCTTATTTAAATTGATTATTTCTCCAATCTAGATAATCGTCTATTTCGTTACGAGTATTACGTTATTAATTAAGCATTTTTGCATAAAGCCGTAATTATTGAATATTTTGAAGCAAAATGTTTTGTATTTTTGTTAAAAAAAACTGACAATTAAGAAAAAAAAGACAGTGATGAATGAGTAACAATTACGAGGGTTAGTGAAATGAGTGAGTAAATGGTTGTGCCTATTGTCTTTTAAAAAATTATGTATAGTGTGGTGGTCAAAAATAAATTATCTCGTTCGTTTCCCTTTCATAATCATTTTCAAAGACCCGTAATTCAAAGGCTTATTGATTGAGATTTTTCCAAAATTCTTGCGATTTTTAAATGTTTTTTAATTGGGATTGTCACGCATTTAATCGGAATTCTATCAACATTAATGCTGAACAAAATTCTACATTATTTATCGAGGTAAATCATGTAGAATTTTGTTACAACTTTAAATTTACGAAAACATTGTATTTCTTTTTAGGAAGTTTAACCTAATGTTCGAGACCTTATATTGCAAAAATATGAATTGTCCATTATTCTTATAGTTTCAAATGAAATAACATGATATTCAAATAAAGCTGATATTCGAAATTTTCTATCGATGATTTCCTATGTTATTAACTCCAAATCATGAGTTCCAAATTAGGATCTATATACTACGAATATGTCCCGCAGTGGACTGATCGTTAAGACACGGCTCCCAGCAGATTACCTAAGTCAAGCATCACTGACTGCGGTCAGTGTGCTGGTGGGTAACCACTTGGACCAATCAGCGTAGGGACCGAGGGTGTGCGGTATCGGTCCTCGTTAAACTGTTCTACCGTAAAGTGCTCGAATTCGCGTGCAGGTCGACGGGCTACAGAAGCGGGGGTTGCATCCCCTTTGCAAAGAATAAAAATTGTGATGGTATGTCTTCGAATCATCCTAAGGGATGTTTCCCAGGCCGTCGCCAAAATTGTGCAGCTCTAGTGCGATGTAAAATGAACAACAACAATATTACAAATATACCATGGTAAAAATGAGGAGATGAAATCGTTGACGTTAGTAGGATAACAATAGGTACAGAATCTAAATCACACAGTTTTGCAATTTGCATTTGATGTTTCCTGAAAGCATTTTTAAAAAAATTGAATGAAAAAGACGCACTAACCATATATACTCAAAAATGTCAAAATTTCTGAATTAATTTTACTAAAAAATCACTCTCTTAAAATCAGAACTAAAATTAATTCAATATTTTTCGAGTAAGAGTTCTTTTACCGCGACTAGAGTGTTCTACTTGTACAAGAGTCGCTGATCTCGTAAACGAAGTCCATCAAACAATCATTACGTCATTGTTATAAGTCGCGTAAACTGCATTTATTGGTGAAATGCCTATAACAATTTATTACATTATAAATTGGCAACAACAAAGTTCGTGTACGTTCGTGATCGTAATGCTCTCGTTTACGATTTTTTAGATCTTTATAAACTATTTGAGTTTGTATCGTTGAGTTGATAATGATAAAATGTTAACTGAAGTTGAAAACTGAAAAGACTGATTTAACTGTTTGAACTGTACGATGTTTTTGCTCCTAGTTTCCAATTCAAAAACAAATTTGCTGTTTACAAATTTTTGAAATGTCTGTTTTGTAAATTTCTGACTTCTATTAATTATAGAAAAAGTTACTAAAATAATTGAAATCTTAATAATTTTAGTCTTATTGAAATCTTATTTATTAGACGAAGTCAGTGTAACTATACAATTTCTTACAAAAGCTATTTAATTATATTTTTAGATTAAACTAAGTCCTTTTGTTAATCGAAAAATTATATATGTTTTTGAAATTGCCAATCGTTGACTCTTTTTAAAATTAGTTCCTGAATTTAGAAGAATGCCGCCGTTTATTTTCTGAAACTAAAATTCATTTCACTTGTATTTTACAAATGATTTCTTTCATATAATTATTTTATTAAAACAAATAAAAAAACTACAATGCTCTACGAAAGTTAATGGACTATCCTGTTAATTTTTTTATTATTAATTGTAATTTTTGTTACAACAATCTTAGATTAAAAAAATCACACATGTGTTACAATAATTTTTAGTATTATGACCCTGAAAAATACCTCTCTTGGTCTTAAGACCACCATAAGCGACTGATTAATTTCATTAAATTAAGTTGTTTTAATTAATTAGGAATAAATTATGTTCTGAAGCCTAGAAGTTTCCAAATCATTTTTATATATATTTTTATTGAGTTAATAGCACTGCAATTTGAGTTAGGAAATTCAACTGCTTTGAATACTTTTGAAGTGTATTTTAGTAATGTATAACATAAGAATATTTTCAAGACTTCCTCATTAATATTAACTTATCAAATTTTTTAATATGATGTGATATTCCTAATTTTTCTCTTAAGAAACATATTTCTTACAATTAATTATGTGGTTTATTTTATCTATTGTAAAAAGAAGAAGAAACAATTTTTTAATTGATTTTTGCTATCATAAATGAGAGAAATTATCTCATGTTTTTATGGTTCAAAGTATAAAACGGGGGGATTTTATGTGTGTTACCGATTGATTAATTAAGCAATAAAAAATTAATTAATAACATCTAATTGTAAGAAACATATTTCTTACAATTAGATGTAGTAATAAACAATAGTACTTACAAAAATTATGTAGTTTGTGAACAGTATTATGGATGCAATTAAAGAAAAATATTTTCTAATTTGTGCATCAATTTTGTAATACAGTACAGAACCCGTTATCCGGAAAACCAAAAAACCGGAACGAAATTCGGTAAATTTTCCCGCCATTTTTTAAAAAGAATTTTTTTTCCTCATTAGATTTTAGGATTTTTCTTTCTTTTCTGAAAGATGTTTACCATGCCATCATTTTAGAAATAATCATTACTGTATTACTTCATCGTTTTTTCTTCTTTTTAAGATTATTTCCTAATATTTTATTTAAAGTTGGGTTTAACAATAAAAAAAACGGATTTTTGTAACGATTCAGAAAACCGGAANTCAGTTATCCGGAATAGCGATGGCCCCGATCGTTCCGGATAATCGGTTCCCTACTGTATTTGAAAGCTTAAAGTACTAAAATTAAATTATGTTTCTAATGAGGTAGTTTATTATTTATTTCTGAAATATTTTGACCTATAATTTTAGATGATATGAAATTATGGAATCATATGTCTTAGATGTTGGTGGCAGAAAGAAAGGTATTCTTCTACAAAACAAGTCATTTGTACCATTATCTGGGTAAGCCTTCTAACTTTATTTTTTCCTCTTTTCAAATACATATAAGCTCTGTTCCCTGCTTGGTATGGTCGCCAAACCCCCATAATCGCTTCTCCTCTATCATTGTCTCCCCCCCCCCTAAACATCAACATTTCCCTCAAAAACCCTTTTTTTTTGTTTTTTAACTTTACAATTGTAGCATCATATAAGATCGATTTGTTAGCATCTTTATCATAAGGGAATATAGGATTAGATTTGATATTGAGAGATAATTTGTCAATTTTTTTGAAGCTATTTGCTTAAGTGTGTGAAAACAAATGCAATAATTTACTTTCAAAACATTGAGTAATGGTATTTAATCTGTGTATTTAAAAATAAAAATAAAAAATAAAGTAGCCCTATGTTTTGTTTTATTTTTCATTCATCATACACTTGTAAATTCCAAAAAGCTACTTAAATATCAAACTCCAGAAACTCAGCATCCTTTATATTAAAAAAACGTTTTATACGCTTAATAATATTTTTAAAAAAATTCTGTTTATTTAACTTTACAAAGTGATAGTCTTTGTTGAAATATAACAGGATTTACCTTCATTAGTGGAGTTTTTAATTACACTGAAAAATTTTGAGAAATTCCTATTAATCTTAGATAGTTTTATGTCATATCTAATTATTTGAACTAGTTGATATTATTTCATGACCAAATTAGAAGCATCCTATTATGAGCAAAAAATGCTTAAATTAAAGTTTTGCATCTTTTTGTGTATTTCAAAAAATAACAAAAAACTTTTGAATTAAAGCAATTTAATTTTTTTTTTAAAACAAGTGTTTTATTCCATTTATTACTTTCTTTTAAGCTATATTTCTAAGTCAAAATGACAATCTGTACCATCATTTAAAGCTTGCGATTTAAAAGATTAAGTAGCCTAAACAACATTGAGTAAGTTATATTAAAAGTTTATACAAACAAATTACAAAACTATTGAACTTCCTAACTGCATTATGCTTTGGTCTCTCATGAAAATGTACAACTATTTTAATTGAGATAATTTCATATTCACTGTACTCATTATATATTGTATTAAGGAATAATTAAGTTATTATCAATCAATATAAAAAAAAAATTAAATTGATTTTGATTTCTGAAAGCAAAATTAAAAATAATCTGCATCCTTCAAAAAACTGTGTGCACTATTAATATACAGGGAACTGGTGTTGTAAGTACTTTTCAGTTTTTATTTATTTCACTGAAGAATTAACCAAAGGTTTTGATTTTTTTTTTTTTGTAAGATAAACCTCACTTTCTCTCATATATGATGTAGATTTTTTTTTTTCAAAATGCTCAGTTGAAAAATTTTTTTAATAATAATTTTTTTAAAAAAATGCCTTGAATAATGTACCTACATGTCCCGAAGCCAATATACACATGTCACATGATCTGCAACATCTGGTATGTTAGACCACATAACAAAAATATGTGCAGAAACAATTGGCGATCCAGATGGGCGGAAGAAAACTTTGTGCCTATGGCAACACTTTGCATATTTTCACCATTAGTGTGTCGATAGTCGTAGGAGAAGGTAGTTCATTAGTTTCTGTCCTGATTTTAAAATATATTTTTTAAAAATTTAAGCTAGGAAACTATAAGCAACTGAAAACTGCATTAAACATTGTTCGAAAAGAAAGTGTTGTAGATATTTGAAAATATATTTTTAACAATTAAATATGAAAAAATATTATGGTAGGGGGAAATATCGTAGCACATCCCCATACAACTGAGAAGAGGAGGAGAGGGAAAAGGGGTGAGTCAAGACATGGAACCCGTCTTCTCCTCAGATGGGGTATTCGAGCGTTGTGATCACAAATATTGAAGGATAAATGTTATAAAATACAGTAATCATATTATATTTCTTTAACATTTAAAATTAAAAATCCAGTTTTTTTTTAGATTAATAAATTATACATGTCTTCAAATGTAAAAAAATATAAAATAATAATTCTTACTAGGTATAAACAATTATTTCTTAAATTTTGTTAAAACAAGTTTTAGTCTCTAAATATTTTGCATAATTGAAACATGATTTAGTAATTTATAGTAAATTAAAGTAATACAAAGACCTACCAAACAGTTGCCATGCCTGTGCTATAAAAAGCCTATTATTTCTTGAACAGGAAGAAAAACAAAAAAGAATTATATCATCCTCATGCACTATTATTTATCAAGATTTATTCGAAGTATATAAATAAAATGTATATTTGTGGATAAGATGAATTTAATGTACCTAATGTTTAAAGTACTTTTTCTGGAGTTTTTGTTAGCTTTTATTTCCTGAAAATTTGTTTTGTTCACTTCAGACTTGTATAACTTGAATTGTTAAAACATAATGTTTAGACTTTTTAAAAATATAAATTTTGAATAATTTTTATTAGGAGTATATTTGATAACTATAAAATAGTTAGAATAATACTACTTGTAGCAGAGATGCCAACTTGCTCCGAACAGCAAATATATATTTTGAAGTGACACTTTATCAATTCTGATTCTTGGTTTAATAAATTCAATTTAGTAGATTTTTATCCACCTCTATTTCTAAATAATTCGTGGGCTTATATAATTCACCACTTTATGGTATATTTGTCATGCTATACCTTTTAAAAAGCAAGCAGAAATAGTCAAATATTTGCAAAATTTACTTTGTAGTTATTTACCGTTTTTATAATTATTTTGGCATGTACGGAGCAGTTGGCATCTCTGCTTGTAGTAAAGATTCTCTGAATTATTTTGATGACCCAATTTTCCTCATTTCTAGTAGAAAAATGTATTCCATTTTCTTGGTTTCACTAAAAATTCAGTAAATTTTCTCCTATCATGTAAATTTAAATAGCTGGAAAAAAAAGCTGTAAATTTAAATAGCTGTTGAAAAAATGAAGATCTAACCTCGTAAAATAATTTAAATTCGTTGTTCTAATAGAAAGTAATGCATTAAAATTCTAAAAATTACAGAGTTACAATAACATAATATACTTTTTGTAATTATCCAACTTGCTGAACTAAAATTGCCACACCTATCAGTGCCATGCGATTTTTTCATATGATTTGTAGACTAGTGGGGCAACATGCTAATGGGAAAACAAGCAAAAAAAGTTAATAGCATTACAATAATTGGGCCCTGTGTACCACTAGGTCTAGTTCTCCCTATTTTGCGTTTTTGACAAATATAAGTAAATAAAATAATTGCTTATTAATTTTAAAATGTGTGTGACTTAAGTTATTATAATTCAAATAATTATTTTTATTATTTTTTTAAAGATTATATATTAAAATGTTTTCTGCTGTATTCATAATTGTAACACGAATGCTCCTCCTCTCTGCTCAAATGTATTTGAATCTATTGCTATGTTTTTTTCCCTTTCTATAATACTTTCCACATTTAGATAGTGAAAAATATTTTTGAAAGTTTCTGAAGTTTACTTTAAGCACTGTATTTAATGCAGTTTGGAGCTCTATATAGCTTGCAAACTTAAAAAAATTTTAGTCAGTTGGAAAATAAAGAGAGAAAATAACATACAACCTTCTCCTATGACTATCCACGCATGATAATGTTCAAAGCATGTGAAGTGTTGCCGTAAGTAAAAAATTCTGCTGTGCGTTGCCTGTTGCTAATTTCAATCTACAATTTTAAATTAAGTTGCATTATTTTAAAGTAATTTTGTTATGCTACTTATTTTTAATTCTCAGTATTTGTACTATTATATGTTATAACAAACAATTTGCATTTTTTGTGATTAGAAAATGAGATTTGTTGATAGAAATTTTAAGTGTACTTTTATAAAATAAGTTTTGTAAAAACAATGTTTGCAAAAAATTGAATTAAAAATTTTTTTTCAGACCCATATTTTCAATTTGTAATATATTTCACGGTAAAGCCATAAATTTTGTTCATGCTGCATGGAATAAACTAGATTCACAAATTGTTGCTGGAGACAGTCTAGGAAATATATATCTGCTTTATCTTCAGAAAAATAGGTATATCACATATTGTTTCATTTTTTTTATCTCATTCTATTGTAACAACTCTTAATTTGATTTATTTTGAAAAATAGGAAATAAAAACAGAATTTTCATAGATTGTATCATAAAATTCTCTTTCTTCAAAGAAAAGTCTTTCTGTCAAGGGCAATGCAAACTTATATTTTGTGAGGAGAGCGGTAAATTGCCATTTTGTGAAATGCATTTCCTAATTTGACCGAATCATAACTGTCTACAATTATTCTTACTTATAATAAAGAAGCACCAGGAGCTACTCTAAAGAAATATGTGTTATAAATAACATGGGTGCCAAATTCTCCTATCTCAACCGAAAGAAAGATTTTATTTTTATATTGAAAGCAGTAGCAAGATTTATTTGTTGATATTTTGTTATTAATTTAATAAATTTGGTTCAAAATGTTTTTAATCATTATTATACAATATATGTAACATATGTAAACTATCTAATAATCATTAATGTGGTTTTAGGTGAAAAAAAAAGTTATATAAAAAATTTCTGGCTCACTGTTATGGTTAAGAAATTTTATTTCACTACCATTGGATAAAGCTTCCTAAAATAGAAAAAACGGTTGGCAGCTAAAAATTAAGTATGATTTGTCTAATATCATATCAATGAACAAGCATATTTTTAAAAATCTAATGATAATAAAACCAAGTTTATTAAAAGCTAAGGAGACAGATTTGTCTCAAGCAAAGTTAAATCATTTTAATGTAAAAAAGTCAATAGAATTTTAGCAAATAATTTATTTATCATACCAAAAGTTAACAGTGTGATATTTACTGAAGCAAACATAGCTGAATATTGAATATATGACGTAAATTATAAAATATATTGACTAACTACATTCGTGTTTCCTCAACAAAAAAAAGAGAGAGAAAATAAAATTTCATAAATATATGCTGAATGTCCTGACAAAATTTGCCAAAAAATGAAAATGTTTGACAAAGTAAGTAAAGGAGGCCACTTTGTCAAAGTAGCCTCACATATCAGTGCCCCTGTTTTCTGCAAACAGTAAATATCTTAGTTTTTGTGTATTTAAATGTAAATATGAAAAACAAAAAATTTTAAACAGTGTTTTGTTTTGAAAATTTTTATGTTTTGTACCTTGTGTGAAGAATTGATGGTTAATTCTCTATAACATAATAGTAACCTGCACCTGAATGTTCTCCTTGTAGGGAACCGCTCACTATTAAACATATTTTAACCAAGTGTAACAAATTTAAAACAGAGAGACAACGCCATTTTGGTAGGTTTAATACAATATTGACTTTATTAATTGGGCATAAACCACACAATAACATTAATTATCTGAGGGAGATTGGTTTGTAACAAATCATTTTAGCTTTAACTTATAGCAGAATGTTTCTTATAAAATAAGTTGTAGGTGCGGCATGGCCAAACATGGCTTTTGCACCAATAATTCTTAATAAACAAACATATTTACAATCATGGAAATATTTTGACAATATTAAATATTTTTAAAATGAATGAAATTTTCATTTGCTAAACTAACATTGCTATATTTTTATAAAGTATTATCAGTAACTCTAATGGAAGTATTGTTCTAGTATTTTTAAATTGTAGAGATACTTTTTTTGTTTACTTGTGGAATTTAAATTAAATTTTAGAAATTAATATTCCAGTGTTTCTAGTGTACAATGAGCAAAAGAAAACATTGACGACCCTGAAGAAATTTTGATCTTATAATCAGATCTTCAGGTCCTAGAACTTAATTTTAATGGTTCGAGAGGTTGACCTCAAACATTACAAATATATACATATATATAACTCTTTTAAATTTTGATTTTGCCACGTAAAATGACATACTTTCAAATGATATCAAAAATTGTATACCATACAATTCAAAATATTTTCTTACTTACTATTGAATAAAATAATAAAAAATATTTACTAAAAAGTATTTTTTGCATGAAATTATCTTTGAATAAACAATTTTATAACTGTACACTAATATTGTGCTATCCACGTAAATTCTTGTGATATGGCAAAATACGCAAAAAGTAAAAGTTAAGAAGTAATTATGTTAATTAACTCTTAATGCTAAAAAGTAAAATTAACACTAAGAGATTCAAACTTTCAAACCCAGGTTGTAACCCAGTAGCTGCAACTAGGTTGAAACACAGATTGCAACCCAGTAGCTGCAACTAGGTTGAAACCCAGATTGCAGCTACCCTTTTTATTTCAGGGGTCGAAAATAGGAATCCATGGAAAAAAAGGTATGTTTATTCAGAGAAAATACATCTTTGTGTCGGATTTCATAACTTAAAATACTGTATACACTAATTAATTGTCATATTTGAGGTCAACCCCTTGAACCATTAAGATTGAGTCTGAGAACATGAAGATCTGATCATTAAATCAAAAGTTATTCAGGGTGGCAATTTTTTCACTCTCTGTACTTTGTATTTTCTGCATAGTTTCTAAAAATTGTTTCTTCAATTGCCAAATAATTTTAACTATTTTCTGTATATATTATAAGGCTATAATTATAAGCATCATGGAAGTTCTTCTAACATTAAATTGTATTTTAAAGTTATTACCATTTCATTAGGTTCTCCTGGCTGTGTAATTTAAAGCATTGCAGTTCTTATTTGACTTTTACTAGTGATAAATCTCAAGATATATTAGTTGCTCTCTCTGACTGCACAATTGTGTCCATAAATTCAGGTAAAGGCAATCTCTTTTTCTTGTTTACATTTTAAGTTCATCACAAAGCTATCTATTTATTCATTGATTATAGTCTGTGATGCCCTAATTTTATTCAGGGGCGCCACATTCTTTTTTCATAAACATGCAACCAGAATAACACTCTTTTGAATGCAACGAGTGCATAGTTCACTGCAGAAATAACAGTACACAATAAAGACCAGGACACGTACGCAGATTCAATACATGACTTTAATGGTAGACTCCACACAATGCTTAACTATTCATGACAACATCGAAAAGATAACTTATGCAAATAAAGATGACGATGAATGATGACATGAACTCACATTAGCTACATCTTGATATTTTTAGCAATAGGCCATAAGCACTGAATAACAAGTGCCTGCTAAGCATTGAAGTACAAGCAAAAGCTATATTGATGCTCATTGAATTCACATACCATTGGTGCCGGCAACTAGATGTCTAATATTAACTATTGAAATCATTAAAATACATAAATATATGATAATTCTTAATCAGGGCATAAAAAGAGCTGAGATGCAGCAGCCGACAACTCCATCCCCAGTGGCAAACGACAAACCACACATTTGCCGAAACAGGAGTGAATAGAGCCCAAATGTAAGCAAATGTCAGAATTCAGCTAGTAACATCCGTTGACTGGAAATTGGTCAGTCAACTAAACATTACAAATCATATGCTTGGTTTAAGTTTTAACATTTGCTATGTTTAAACTATTATGGGCATAGTCTCTAAAACTTAAAACAAAAATCAATTTTTCTAAGTAAACCAACCTTCCAAACATCCTTTCCTCTCCAACATCATTCCAAAGTAGCATTCTTGGAAGAAAAAATAAATTTCTTGTAGCATGATTTTATTTTAAACTTGTTTATTTTTTTACCTTATCAGTAAAGTTCAGAGATCTAAGAAAGGGTAGTTCCAAAGTTACAATCTATGAGTGTTTTAACAGTGGAAGGAGGTTTCAAGGAAAGAAACAGTAACTGGCTAACTTAGCCTCTTTAGGCATAATATTGAAATTTTAGCTGTGCTGACGCGAAAAAGGAAGCAGTTCAAATGGTTGTCGGTATTTTATGAATTTAGCCTATTGATAACCATGAGTGTTTCTATGAGTGTTTTAACAGTGGAAGTGTCACTGTTTCTATGAGTGTTTTAACAGTGGAAGGAGGTTTCAAGAAAAGAAACAGTAACTGGCTAACTTAGCCTCTTTAGGCATAATATTGAAATTTTAGCTGTGCTGACGCGAAAAAGGAAGCAGTTCAAATGGTTGTCGGTATTTTATGAATTTAGCCTATTGATAACCTTCAGATAAAAGCAAAGTTAAATTTTTCTGTCCTATTGTCCACCTATAAACTTTCAAGCTAATTTACTCAAATTCTCTAAAATGTCATTCTCTAAAATGTCTTTCTACTTAGTTTTTCAAAAGTAGTTATTCAATTTAAATAAGTTATTTTTTCCATAATCAATTAATAAAGTTATCATTTATATTTAAAATATATTCATAAAAATGTCGAGGAAAAAGGAAATTTTATAACTAGCTATGTGCATTTATTGTGATTATTATTTTTTATTTATTTCTTGTACATTTTTTTTCTAAAATGCATGGTTGTAATGCCTTTAGATTCTTTTCAAACTTTCGCCACATTTACTAGATGTAAAATATGTTTATACTTTTATAATTTAGTTATTCTTATAATTATATATTTATTCTTATAATTTAATAAATAGTTTTTAGATGTTAAATTGCTTTTTAATTATAAAGTTTTGAATTCCAGTAAAGATGTCCTTTTATTTAATGCATATTAAACAAATGCTTAAATATTTTATTTTCAGATCTAAAATTAGTGAAGAGCGAATTTAATCATCATACATCTTGTGTGATTCATATATCTTTTAATAAAACTGGACAAACAGTTTTATCCTGCTCCAAAGATCAGACAATCTTGTGGGACTTGGACACTTTCCAAATTCAGCGAGTGTTACATTTAAAAAGAAATGTTGACATAATAAAGGTAACTTTTATTCATCATTAATTCTAAAATGTTGCTTGTTTTATGGCACTGAATAAAACATAATTTATTCAGATCATTAATAAATTGGCCAAATATATCTGAAGATTAGTAGCAGGAAATGTTTAGGCAAACTATAAAACTCATTTTTTTTGCATCTGTTACTGAAAGGATTTTATCATTTATATTTGTATAATGTTCAGTCTAACTTATTTAGATGAACCTCAAAGTCACAATTTTTTTCACATTAAGGGGGGGGGAATCTAAATTTCCGTTTCCTGTGCATTTCCTATAGGAGAAAAAAAAATCTTAGAAAAATTCATTTCTCTTAAACCTCGTGAAATCTCATCTCCCTTTGTTCAATATATTGAAAAGAATTTTATATCAGTACAATTATGAAATTAAGTATTATAATATTTCAAGTTTTGATACAAAGCAGTAGCTTCCAATTAAAATTGAAACTGTTTTAAATCAACTTAATAGCATGAAAAAAATTCTTTTTGAAACAAAGTGATACAATGTGAGATTTATTTATTAATGCAAAGTGGTGCCATGTTCTTGGTGCCTTGAAAAAAAATATTAAATGAATTTTTCTTCAGTTTTCTAATTAGTACTTTTTAATACCTGTGAAAGGAGAAAAACTGCATTAATAGATTTCTATAACAGATATCCAAAAAGTACAGTGAAACTTCACTGACTTAAGCACCATTCAAAATAGAAAACACATTAAGTTTTCAAATGTTTGATTTAAAGAAAATTTAATTATTCATTATTATTTTTTAATGGAAAAATAGGCAGAATAGTTAGCCTTATTTTCAAAATATTACAAATATAACTTGAATAACGTTTTAAAGAATTCGAACATTTTTTCATTCTAACGAATGCTATGCCAGCCCAAATAAAAAGTCTAGTATTGCAATATTTTAAGTTGCAATTAAAAACATTTCTGTATTATAATCTAATAATGAGCTGTTTTAAAATCAGCTTAGATGAAGAGAAAAAAATCGATGCAAATATAGTATTACAACAAAACATTTAATAATTGATGCATGGTGGTGCCATATTTTTGCCTAAAAAGAAAATATTTTTGCAGTTTCCTAATTACATTATTTCATGTCATGTGAAAAAGGGAAAAACTACCTGGATTTGTTGAAGATTTCAGATAAAAAGAAGTGAAACTTCATTACCTCACAGCTGTGCCACAAGTAGAAAATGCAATCAGTTATCAAAAGTTAGTTTAACAAAAATAATTCAGCTATTTAGAATTTTTTCTATAATAATTTTTTATAAGATCGGATTGAATAGTGTTAAAATTTAACATCATTACAGATTTGCGATATCTTTCACAAAATAAGTCTTATTGGTGTCTTAAAAAATAAGAATATTTTTTTCATTCTTTATTTTTAACATTAAAAAAAATGAGAACTTAAATTTGAAATTTTTTGGAAAGAATCCAACTTACTCTTTATTCAGTGTTTTGCAAGATTTTAATCCTAATATTTGCAGAAATTTACCTTAAAACATAATTTTAAGGTTAATTTAGGTAAATGTTAAATTTATTTGAGTGCTTCTCGTGTTAAAATTTTTATTGGCCTAATTGTTTTATATATTTATTGCATTAATAGGTGTTTTTTCTGTCCAAGAAAGATGTCATAGTGTCTGCTTTCAATGATAATTCAGTGTTCCTGTGGAATTTTGAAACATTCGGCTGTATTAATCAATTTGTATGTGCATCTGAAGACAGCTACTTAAACATTAAAACCATTGATGCTTCAGGGTAAATGTTACTACTTGTTTTTAGAGGTTGTTAGTAAGAAGTTATAATAAAAAATAATTACTATTTATGTTACGTTCAGGGATGAGATTTTTCCGCTTTTATCTCTTGAATTTCAGCTTTTTTTATCAAAAATTCAAATTTTCTAAAAATTTCACTTTTTTTTATAAGTATTCCGCTTTTTCAGAAAATTCACCGATTTTCAAAGAGAAACAGAAAATTCAAACTACATAGCTACCAATCCTTTCTCATTTTTACTTATTTTAGCTATTTTCTCCCCTTTTACACGCAGCAGATAAGATTTTCCGAATTTTTTACCCGCCCTCCAGATAGATCCGATTTTCGTAGTTCAAACGACGCTGCTTCTGACAAGCCTTTTAGAGGTCCCAAGCCTGGAATCTGCTAATATCTCGATTCTTATTCACACGATTTTAATATCAAACATAGCTTTTCATATTTGCGTGTTGCGATTCTTATTCACGCGATTTGAATATTGTACGTTGCGATTCTTATTTACGAGATTTAAAAATCCGATATTGTGATTCGTATTTACGCCTTTTTAAAAACCTATGTAGCGATTCGTATTCACGCAAGTTTAAAATTCAATGTCTTGATTTGCTCATGCGGTTTATAATATCAAACATTGATTTTCGTATTTATACGTGATTTTAAAATAAGGCATTGGGATTCGCATTCACGCATTCTAAAAATTATGCATCATAATTCTTATTTATGCAATCTAAAAATTACGCATCATGATTCGTATTTACGCGATCTAAAAATTATGAATCGTGATTTGTATTTACGCGTTTTAAAAATTCTATATCCCAGTTTGTATTTTCTCATTTTCAAAATCGTATATCTAGTTTCATATTCATGTGATTTCAAAATCCATAATTGTTATTCATATTCACGCAATTTTAAGATCAACTATCGCGATTCTTGTAAGAAGTAAATTTTTTTAAAATTAGTTACTATAAAGGTGACTGTTTTTCTAACGACGATTATTAGTATATGTAAGTGTTACAACATCAGAGAAACTGGAAGGGAATATATTCAAAACTTACATTCTGTGCTTGCAAAGAAGAAAAAATAGGATTTGTCACAAGATGTTTGAAGATGGACTAACGACTAAATATAGCAAACATAAAAGATATAGCAAACAAAAGCAATCACTTAAAAAGGGATTTAATTTAAATTTTTTTTTTTTGGAAAAAGAGTTAATTAACTCATCATCAAAATTTTATTTATAATTGCTGTTATTTATGCTATAAAATGCAAAATTCTTATCAAATAAAAAACAATTATCTAAACAGTTGCTGATTGTCATGTAATTTTTCAAACTAAAATAGCAATTTTTGTATGTTAAGGAGTTACTATATATTTCTACTTCACTGTTATTGATATGTTTCAGAGGGCTCTAGTTAGATTAGACTATAATATGAACATAATAATTCGGTCCATTGTTAAATTTTTTTTTTCCAATATAATTTAAAAAGTAATATTACTGATATATTTGCTATAAATCACATAACAGTATTTATTAAAAGAAATGAAATATTAATGTATATTCTCAGTAGTTTTAATTTGCTAAACCAGGTAGTTTTTCAAGTAATAATTGTCTCTTATGTGAACTGAGGAAAAATATAATTTCCAGCTTTATTTTTTCAATTGGTAATTTTTATTTTCACTAAATGTTAAGTATCAATGTAATCATTTATATAATAATAGATTAGTACACAATTGTATGTCAACACATTATTTATTACCTTAAACTGTCTGGAATTTATTATTAAAGGGTTGCGCTTGCGTAAAATTTACTATCGTGGAAATTGAGCTTTTTTGCATTTTGGCTAATCTCATCCCTGGTTAAGTTGCAAATTGATAGCACTTGAACGTATAAATATCAATGTTTGCACTAGTTTCAGAAAACTTTTATTGCTGTTGAATACAGTTCTATTAGTTGTCCTACATTTCTTTTTGTGGAAACAATCTTAATAATTATTCCATATATTTTTTATATTACTTTAAATATATTATATTTTCTTACCTTCAAACATTATAAGGTGAAAATTGCTCTTATCTACTAAAAATATATTTTTCTAAACCACCAAGATTAAAAAAAGAAGAAAAAAAGTCTTTTTGCAGATGATGAACCTAAAGTTCCTGATATCGTCATTATTTGGTTTTTTAATTTTAAATTTCAAAAACAGACTTGGTGACCAGCTCTATTTCTGTTGCTCTTGTGTTTTAGTTCTGAAGCAAGTATTTTATATGATTGACAAGCCCAACAATGAACTTTATAAAACATTCTCAATGGAACTTGATACTAATTTTATCTACTTCGGTAGCAAAAAGCTAAGTAAACCTTGACCAGGTCACTCACTTATAACAAATCAATGGATACACACACATTCTCAATTCAGATCCTTAAACTTAGTTGCAAGACCCAACTATAATGTAAGACTGAATGTAAATACTGTTTCTCATGTATCAATTAAGAGTCATTTGTTGTGTGTACCAAGCCACAGTTTTGGGATAGTGGATGCCAAAAGTAATATCGTGGTCAAGGGTGCCGGCAGCGGGGTGCAAGGGGGTGCACTTGCACCTCCCTGGCTTTTTTTAAACAATTAAAGAGTATAAAATTTTTTTTATTAAAAATATTTTTATTCAAAAGGAAATAGTTAAGCAATTATTGATTCATAACAATTAAAAATTGTTTAATCAAACAAGAATTGTAATAGTCCTGTTAGCTGTCCAAATCTGCTTATAACATTTTCAATGAATTCTGAGTCATCTTTGATTCTTTTCTTATGCACACTGAGCATGCACAAACTACTTAATCTCTCGTGAGACATTGTAGTACCGATTCCATGTTTTTATGCGTCGCATTGTACTAAAAGTGCATTCAATAGTGCACGTAGTAGCTTGAAGAGTTAGGCCAATTTTGATTGCCTCCGCTACAGCTGGATAAAACGGTGTGGCCCCAATATCTAAATCGATGTATTCGAGGGATTCATAAGAATTTTCTCTATTCCTCCACATTTCGGATCACGGAAATTCGTAATTTTTTTAAAATATCTTGTAAACAATGAAGAAATGTACAGATATAGGAAAAAATAATAGGAACATCTGTGAAAGAATGGAGTCGTTCTCGACTGTCCAATAAGCGGCGGGCACGTGTCGCAAGAATGTGCCACCTAGTGGTGATGAAAGGCAAGGTATCTGTCTAGCATTTGGCAGTGTGAGATTTGCAAGAGAAAAATCTGTTTCTAGCAAGACGAGATTATGTCTGACCTCTCTGACCTTAAAAGAGGCATGATAATCGGAGCTCGCCTGGCTGGAGCGTCCGTGTCCAGAACAGCGAACCTTGTAGGTGTTTCAAGGACCACTGAATCAAGGACTCTGTCGGCATACACAAAGTTGGGTATAAGGTGTCTTCGCCGAGGCACAACAGCGGCAGGAAGTCGAAGTTGTCAGACCATGATAGACGAGTGTTGAAGAGGATAGTCGCTCGAAAACGCAAGACAACACTGCCGGTGATAACATCCGAGATGAATACCCACCTTCAGAACTCTGTATCCATGAAAACTATTCAACGGGAGTTGCATGCTTCTAACATTCATGGCAGAGTTGCTATTCCAAAACCGTTAGTTTCAGCGCGAAACGCTTTGAAGAGACTACAGTGGTGCCAAGACCACCTACAATGTACACAACTGCAATGGGAACAAGTCATCTGGTCTGATGAATCCTCTTTTGCACTATTCCAGACCACCGGAAGTGTGTTCCTGTGGCGAACGCCGGCAGAAGCATTTCATGTTGGCTGCCTGGTTCCAACCGTAAAACATGGAGGTGGTTCAGTGATGGTGTGGGGCGCTATATCTGCCCGTTGATTGGAGCCTCTCGTTGTCTTGAGGGGGTGGTCAAAGGGGATCATTACCGAAGCATTCTTGCAGATCATCTTCACCCTATGCTGCATACTCTCTTTCCGGGAGAGCGTCCTGTGTTCCAAGATGACAACGCCTCTGTTCACACGTCTCACTGTGTTCAAACATGGTTAAATTAACATAATTATGAAGTGGACCATCTAACGTGGTGTCCCCAGTCCCCTGATCTCAATAGCATTGAGCCTTTGTGGGTTTTTTTTGGAGAAAAAAGTCCGTGCTCGGTTTCCTCCTCCACGCACACTCTCTCAACTCGAGACAGCCCTGCAAGAGGAATGGCTGCAAATTCCAATGAACTTTTGTTCAAGATCTTTATTTGTCAATCCCATGTCGAATGCAAGCTGTCATTCAGGCCAAACTCCTTATTAATAAAATATTTTCATTTTTTCACAGGTGTTACTATTATTTTGTTCTATACATGAATCTTGAAAAAAATTAATAGATGAAAGTATATGTAATAACAAAAAAAAAAAAACGTAATAGCAGAATATTTAAAGAAAAGGAAAAATTGGGGGGGGGTCTAGTTTGTTAGACGGTTGCACCCCCTTTTATATTATTCTGCCGGCGCCCTTGATCGTGGTAAACTATGATTCATTTATGGCAAGTTTCTAGATAAGAAGCCTCATCTTTCTATTTATTCTCAGGGTATTTTACCTGCTCAATATTACAATACTCAGTTTCTGTTGATAAGATTCCTCTGGAGCCTGGTTCTCTTTGCCATGTGCTTATAACATTCACACGTTTGATTTAGTGGTTAGGTTATAAGAACAAGGATCTGAGGATATAGAGCAGTAGATATAAAAAGTTGGAATGGTTGGGCAAGTTTCTACTTAACTAACACTAATTTTGTTTTTTGTGCAATCATCAATCGTATACATGAAAAATTGTCATCCAGTAAGAGGATTTCTCCTGTCAATTACAACTTTATATTTTTTTAATTATTGTCAAAAAATATTTGCAGGAGTACATCCTTCGTGAGACAAGGGAAAAAATTAAGAAGATTTTTCACTGGTTCGAAGGACCGGTGCCTAAATTTTGGTCACGGTTCCTACTCTTAAAACCACCGATCTTTCGAACCAGTAACCTAAAGATTTACTTGTATCTATTAATTATGATTGAAGAAAATTTACTAAATTAAACTCAAAGGAAAAATTGCAATACAGCATGTTTTTTGTTCTGACGGCAGGCACCGAACTTGTTCTTCACCTCGGAAGTGTTGCTAACTTAACATTACACGGTGGGTATCAGTCAACCTAAGTCATAGAACCGAGCAAAATAATCCGCATGACACTACAACAGATACTTTTTCATGGGGGGCGCCACATTCACACATAATGCAACAGAGTACAACACACAGAGTCCATGCCCTGAGCAGGATTCAAACTCACAACCATTGGCTTCGCAGTCAGGTAACCTAACTGCCACAAAAAAATATGTAATGTCACAATTAGGATGAAATATACTGTTTGTGACGAAAGTGCTGACTAAAACATAAAATCTAAGTTTAAAAAACAAAATTCCTATCCCTATACATGGATAGTTTGTGACGGGGACCATTGACAATTAATATTATGTTCTGAGTCAAATTTTAGCGCTTTGGTGGACTGTTACAGTTAAGTTTGCTTTACAGAGATGAGAAACTGCTTGCTTGTGCTGGGAGATCCAATTGGTTTCTTGTGTGGGATATTGAAGAAGGCAAACAGCTGAGCACTATTCTACTGCCTGATAATGTATCTTCGGTCAAACAAACATGTTTTCTTCCATCATCTATTCATTCAGCTGACATATATGTAAGTGAATTTTATTTTTCAGTCTCTGTTTAAGTAACTTTAATCTTATAAAGTGTGAGTTTTATTTTAATTGATAAGTTGTATTATAATTAAAAATGTTTGCAGGTTTTTATATTTGCATGATAGTGATATAAATAGCTAAATATATGATTTGTTAATGTTAAAAGTTTTGGTTAAGAAACAAAATCTCATATTCAATTCGATAAGTTATTTAAAATAAAACAACTTTTAAAGTAAAGCACACCTGCACCAGTGAAATTTGAACCAAATGTGGTTCCATAATAGTTTTAAATGCTAAGCTATATACTGCTTTCTAATCATTCAGTAAACCTTTCTATATTAATGATTAGTCCCACAGTATTTTTTTAAAGCTAGTTTAATTTGTAGGATCATCAAATTTTATAAAATTATATAAATTATATTTTTAAAATTTATTTTTCATATTTTATTTTCATATTAATATTTTTACTGTAGTATTTAATGTCTTTATCTACTTAGCCGTTTTTTTTACAACTATTTTTATTTTGTTTTAGATACTCGCCATTTTGAGTTCAGAAGGTGAAGTGCTATTGTATGATGTTAAAAACGTTGAATTATTACACAAAATTGTTTCAGCTAATGGTAAAATAATGTCTCTTTCTACCGCATATAATTTTCTTCAAATTCTCACTGTGTCTTTGCAAGGAAGTTTAGACTTATATGATGTGGAAGATTATATTCTTATCAAAAATGTAAGCAATTTCTTTTTTTTTAATGCCTACTGTTTACTTCTTATGACTACTTTTTACACAATTATGTAGTCTTATCAAAGACTACAAAATTGTGTAAAATTTATTGTCTTCTTCAACAACCGCTGCAGCTAAGGTCCTTTCCAGCTTTTGGGTGATGTATTTGTGTTCGGTAGTGCAGCCATTTGGATAAATTCGATTACTATGTTTTAATTTATCACAATACTAATAAATAGCATGGGCTGGGATAGCCTGGTTAGAAGGACGTTGGGCTCGTGTTCCTGAGAATGTGAGTTCGAATCCCACTGGCTGAAGCACCCCCCTGTATTAAATGGTGACTGGTGCGTGTTAAGTTAAATCTGTTGGGATCACGAAGTCCTCCAAGTTCCCATAACAAATTAATACTGCTGGGGGTACTGGAGATGGGTCGTTCTCTGGTTCAGATCAAAATTATAATTTGTGGATTAATGAATGAAGTATGATTGGGTCGTCCCTGTGAAACGGGCAGGGACGTGTGTGTGTGTGGCTGAAGTCTTGTTCTTGTCCATTGATGAAATGTGAATGAGTTGATCACTGGAAAAAACAAGAAGCGCACCCTCTGCCTTAAGATTCCGCTTCATTCCTAAGCAGGCTATTAAATATCACTAGGCCCTTCTCAGATTTGTGAATAAAAATAATATTTTTAAATCTTGCTTTTAATTCAAATGTGTCATAGAGCAGGGGTCTGTCTAGGTCAGGGATGGCGAACCAATGGCACGCGTGCCATTTATGGCACCCGACACAATATTTCGGGCACGCCACCGATCACATTTGTTTTTACACAAATGGTATTACACTATGAAGCATATGTAACAATTAAATTAAAATTCACAAAAAATACACAAAATAATAAACAATAATTAATAAAAAAATTAACAATTAATGCTAAAAAAACAATTAATAACCATAAAAAACAAGCTACCAATAAATAACTAGCAAAAAAATTAACAGTCCTGCTTAAACTTATGTCGTACAACCTAATATAAGTTATTTGTCATCTAATCTGCAACAACAGAAGTCACACTGGTGTTACTTTAAGTTGAATTACGCATATAACTGAGACATTGCAAAAAAAATTTTTTTTTTCAATGTAAATAAAGAGTTTTGAGTTGATAGTATTTAGTATTATAATTTTCCCAATAATCACGAAGTCAAAATTATTTGACGGCACGTCTATGATCTCATCAAACAATTCTCTAGAAAAAATGGCACGTTGGTGTATAAAGGTTCGCCACCCCTGGTCTAGGTCTTTTTTAGAGGTACCTATTTTGTGAAAATTTAGACATAATTTGTGAAATTTAAAAATTTTATTAAAAGATCAACACAAATATATGGTAAAATAAGAAAATATTTATATATTTTTCAAAAATATGTTAAAAGTCTTTTGTGAAACTACCGTTTTTCTTTAAATTGAATTTGTGAAACTACCGTTTTTCCTAAAATTAAATTTGTGAAGCTACTGCTTAACGGCAGTAAATTTGCCCTGGACAGATCCCTGTAGAGGAATAATATTTTTTGTATTATCTTGTTTATTTAGCAGGTAAAAGACATTCCTAAAGTTAAATCATCTCCAGTGCATAAAGCTGTTAGATCTGTACAGATGAAGGAAGTCAAGACAAAAAAAGTGATTACTCTAAAGTTTCTAATATTTATGATATACTTATCCACCTGTGAAAACAAACACGATTAATATTTTTGATATTAAAGGTTATTGATGTCGATGAGAAAGGTCTGAGAACTATTCTAAAAAATTTTGGAGAATATCCAGAGAAACATAGGTTAGTTATAGTACTTGTTGTAACAATTGTGTTGTTAAAATGTTATAGTTAAATGTAATAAATTTTTTTATGCAACTAGCCTTATCACGTTAATATGTATTCCTTTAACACTAGGTTTACGGACGTTTATTGTACACCTATCCCTACGAACACGCGTCAATTTGACGCATGAACGAATTCATATAACAGCACTTAGAAAGCAATGTAATTATATACAATAAGAAAAAATCAAAATATGAGATATATATTTATGGAAAGTTTTTATTATTCAATAATTTCACTATACACATCTCTCTGATCAATTGGCATCACTCTGACATCATTGACATTCTGCATTTGTTCTTACTATGATTGCTTATTGGCAACAGTTGTTTATCGCTTGTTTCATTTGAGATAACGATATCGATTAACGGATCGAAGTATTGTCGGTACATTCCTATTTATTATTCGTGTGATGTTTGCATGTTTACTCAAAATTTTGCCTAAACTACAATCGCGTCAAATTGACGCATATACCTAGAGATAGGTATACCACGAAGAGAATTTCAATATTTCAGCACTTTTGAAGAAAGCAGACTTCACTATATATTTACCTCGATCAATGGATAAAAGTCGTTAAAAGAGATGAAATAAAAATGCAAACGGGTTTTGTAATTTTCCTTATAAAATTCAAAATGACGAGTCCCTTAAACCTAGTAGTGTTAAGAACAAGTCGATTTGCTTTTTATATAAATTTAATGAGGTTAGTCTGAGCATTGTTTTGTCAAAAAATGGCTCCTGAGAACCCTGAAAGAAACAACGTGTGTGACTCAGAGGCAACACATGTGTCTGAAAAATGTTAGAAATATACCTCTAGGCTGACATGGCACCGTGGGTGACATGGGGTGATTGTGTGTCATATGCAATTTCACCCTGTATCATCACACCAGTCATAGAAGTGGTGTGCCATTTTACTGAAATGCTAATTTATAAAAGTGGATTACATTATTTGTTTTATAAGAAGAAAATTAAAGTTTTATTTTAATTTGAATATAAACTAATTAAATTTTTAAGCAGTTTATTAATTCATATACTTTAAATAACATTGTCATTGAAAATTTAGCTTTATTTTATTTATTGTTTCCCTTTTGTTTTTAGATTTTTCATTTGGTCACAATTACTAAAACTCCCTCGCAATGAAGAAGCCTTCAAAATACTTCATCAAGATTCATTCCAGGTTAAATCTTTTGTGAAAGATTATTCATTTATGAACCCAGGTGTTCAAAAGACTTTTTTAAGGTAAATTGTTTTTTTTTAAATAACCATTTAATTACTTTTCTTTTTTTACATAAAAAAGTTTAATGCTAAAAAAAATCTTACTATTTTAAAAAATAATATGTTTAAAACAAGAATAACAACAAAACAAAATACTTCAATGTTTGTTTTATAATTTTTTGCCTCCATTACTAAAGTCATGTTAAAATTACTTACTGTATTTTAATCAACAGAGAGATTTGATTTGTTATATTTATATATTTTTAACATTTTCAGATTGATGTCTATGCTTGCATGTTGGCTTCCAGTAATACAAGAGATGGACTACATACAGTGTTTAGTTTTCCCTTTCATAAAAGTCCTTCATAAGAATGCAGTTTTATGCTTTGAAATTTTGATCACATTGATTAGTAAGTTCATAATGTTTCATCCTTTATATTGCACAGCTTTGTTCATTTATTATTTAAATTGCATTGTATTGTTCATTTATCCTTTGTATTGCATTCCTAAAAGTTTAGATTAAACCCAATTCTTAAGAATCAAATAAAATGGTACTAACTACTGTGGTTTACACATTTTTTAATTGCAAAATAAGAAAATAAGCAAAAATAAGAAACTTGTAAGAATTTTAATAATGATAAAATGAAACTGGAATTTCTGTACAGAGCAAATATTTTTCTACTCTATATGCATACATGTGAGCTCTAATTTTAAAAAGTATCGAGTAAAAGTACGTACTAAATGGGGGGGGGGTATTATTTTAAAGTACATTTTGTGGAAATTAACAATTTAAAGTAACCTTAATTTTCTTTGTAAAAATAGATGGGGAAAAAAATATTTTTTCTTAATTTTAAATGCGAGAAAATGTTTCAAAACTTATTGCAATAGTGAACATTTAAAATATCCAGAGACCAAAATTCAATGTTTGCAGATAAAAAGGAGTTTTAAATTATGTTAATTTTAAAACTAAGAAAGTTTTAGAAATATTGCTTTGAATTTCGGAATTTGTAGTAATAAGTTAATTTTTTGAACAAATTCGATACATTATAGTTTTTGTTTAAAGAAATAAGTTAAAAAATTTAAAAAAAATTTTTATATATAGGTAACCCCTTGAAATTCATTCAAGTAAAAACTATATTTCGCTTTTATGAAAGTTAAAAAAAAAAAAATTTGAATTTTAAATAATGACGATTTTTTGATTTGTTGTTAATTTTTTGCTAGTACAAGATAGAGCACAGAAGTTTTATTTTAAAATTATTCATATAATGAGCTAAATGTTTATATTGTAAAATTCAGAAAAGGAGAAAAAATAATTGAAAAAAAGTTTTTTAGAAATCTTTTATATTTGTTTGTTAGAAAAAATAATTTAAAAAAATGTTGTTTCAAGTAAAATGTTTAGGAAAATTTAACGATAATAACGATTTCTTTTGACATTCTTGTTACAAACACTTGTATTTTTTCCCAAAAAATTAATGAAAAAACAAGTAAAAGTACTTAATTTAAAAGGTGAGAAAGTGCTACAAATAAAAGTTCATACTTTTGACTTTTACTTTCATTACAAGTAATGAAAGTAAAAATATTGCCATGTGTATATGGTAATTTTTGTTATACTAAAACATTTAAAAATATTCACTATATTTTATTTCAATATGCAGTTATTTTTCCTTTAATATTTGTATACAGGTCATTGTGCGGTGTATGATTGAGGTTCTCAATCTAGATCTAAACATTTGATTAAATATTTTACTTTTTTAAATGCATTTGTATAAATCAAGGAAACAAGATGGTACCTATTTAAGATCGTTTCAATTTAAGAACCAGGAAAAACTAATAGATTTTTATTTTGTGTTTGATATAACCTGGTTAAGAAGTTTTTTTCTTTACCAAAACAACTATTTGCATAATTAAGAATAAAGGAAGCATATTGGTGACTCATGGAATTAATAAATACCAAATTTTACTAAATTTGAATATTTATTTATTTATTTTTAAATGCATAAACATTTGTTTAGATTTAACAAAAATATAAAAAAATTACTGATAATTTTTGTGTAAAAAATTCATTATTCTTAGATTATTAATAACATTTAAATTTTCAATATCGCCTACCAATTTGAAAAAAACTTTATATTATTTCCAAATATGTAAAGTTTTAATGTTCAATGATGAAAATTTTCTTTACCCTTCTGTTTCAGGTAACTGGTGCCAGAACTGGTTTCTTTTCTGTCCATTTCCCCCTTTTAATATATTATCTGCTGTTGAAAATATAATTTCTTTTCATGATCCACAACTACTTATACATTTTTGGAAAAATGACATATCTTCTGAGGTTAATATCTATGTATTTTGGGATTTTTTATTGATAAACTTATTTTGTATGCTGCTTATATTTATCAATTCTTATTTCATTTGTGTTATTTAAAAACTATATCCATAGTACAGGGAGAACAGGAAAACCTGGAATTGTCAGGGAATTTTATTTTAACTCCAAAAATCAGGGAATAGTCAAGGAAAGTTCCAATTTTTTACAAAAAACTGGAAAATTCCTTTGTGAGTAACAGTAATTAGTTATTGAGATTTGAATGAACTAATTTTAACATCTATTACAATTGTTTTATAAAATTTCATTTGTTAGTCAAACTTTTCCATGCTTCTATTCTCATTCTATTATATGTTTTTGCTCACAAAATCTAATATTTGAAATTACAAGTAAAAAAATTAAAAAAACAAAGTTTTCTGATGAAAAATGTCATGGTATGGATAAATACAGTATGGACTTTCATTGAAAATTTCCTGATATACCTGGAAAAATCAGCAAATTTTTTTTCTGAAATTGAGTAGAATTATGATTTTTTTTTTCATTTTTTAAAAATTATCTATCTTTTATTAACAAAATTGGTCTACCAAATTGGAACCTTTGTATTAGTTTCAATAGTTAGAAAAAATACATTTGAATAACACTGGAAAAATCTTAACATCATAAGAAGAAAATTATCATTTAAAAATTAGGATTTTTGCATATGTTTGCTCAAAAAGATATTTAATTGCATATTAAGTAATCATAAAAAATTTGAAAAAAGATAATTATTATGCAGCCATTATTATCTAAAAGCAGACGTGCCAACTCTCCCGCATTTTGCGGGAGTCTCCCGAATTTNCCAAAATAAATTCAGATTCCTTTACTTCATTTAACAATAAAGACTTTATTACATCTTAAGTAAGGTAATTAACAATTTTTTGAACTAAATAATTGTTTTAATACTAAAATTGTTATATGTGTGAAAAAAAATTTTTTTTTTTGTTTTTTAAATTAATAATCTTATATTGCATTTAATTACAATATTGAATGGGAAAATGTAACAAAACTAGTTTTCTCTTTTTTTCTTAAGCTACACTAAAATTGCTGAAATTTTTATTTGACTAAAAAATTAATTCTTTAGTTCCAAAATAAATAACAATTATTATGAAAAATATAATTTATTTATTAGATTAATTAAAAAACTTTTTTGGAAGTATACTGCTACCCAATTTATCCAAATTGGTCTGAAAAAAATATTTTATATATTAAAATAATAAAAAAGTGTTTTTTCTTTCTGTAATATTTATTTATAGCTTTAAACTAATAAAATGACCCTTCTAATAGATAAACTTACTGGGTTTTAAAAATCAAGAAATAAGTCCCATTTTGAATTTAGTATCCAAAACTCTCAAATAAAACTTTGATAATGTTACTCATTATTATTGCAGGCTTAAAATGCACATCCTTTACTGTTAAGGCACAGTATACAACGAACTTGAAATTTTGATCTATGCAGTAATTAATCTTAACCTCTACTAAAATATATTTTTAACAAAGACTCTGGAAAATACAAGGGTTTTTATACAAGGATTCTAAGAAATATACGTTAATATTGATCTTTATGGAACTCTCAGTTTGTAAATTAACTTTGTACTATGTTTAATTTGTTTCATTTCTAACTTTTTCAAATGCAATGTTTATTTTACAGGTTTATGCGTGGTCTCTTCTTAAAACATCCTTTTCAGAAGTTTTTAACAAAAATGAGTGGTTTAAGTTATGGGATAATCTATTTACTAATCCTCCATGTTTTTATCTGTATGCTGTTGCAGCTTTTAGTATTACAATACGATCTGCACTTTTCCAATGCAAGCGTTTAGAAGAATTTAAAGTAAGTTGGAATTTGGCTTTCAAATTGATTTCTTTAACAAAATTATTAGCATTTCTATAATTATGAATTTGAATAATGTCCTAAATTAGACTCGCAAATCTTAAAAAATGATAACAGTAAAATAATTAAGGCTAGGAAACAACTCTTGCAGAAAATTCACGGGGCAGGCCATACATTTTTCCTCCTAAAGATCCGGTTTTTTGTTTAAAAATATCTTCATGTGTGGCACTGGAAGTATTAAACATGTAAATCAAAGTGAAACAGTGGATTATCACCTTAAGATATTTTAGCAAATGTCCGCCATTAGTAACAGTCATGTCGTAAGAGCCAGGGTGGCTCAGGGGATACAGCATTCGCCTTCCAATGAGGTGAACTGGGTTTGAATACCAGCAACGGCTGGTCAATACGAATTCTGCGCCGGCTCGCACCGACCACGCTGCTGGCGTAAAATATCCTCAGTGATAGATGGATCTTGGGTTAGAGTCCCCTTGCCCTCAGGCTATTGAAGAGATTTTTGTGGTTTTTCTCTCCATATAATACTTATGCGTTTTAGTTCCAGCAGAAATTCCTCTACAAATTCAAATTTCTCCAAGCACTTGATCCAGGAGCTCACTTGTCTTTTGGATTAGGTTAAAGATTACAAGGTTACAGAGTCAAACATTGGTAACCCAAAATTGGGTCGACTGTTCAACGACTGTTATGAAATAAAATCATGTCGTAATCGCAGGACAAAATTTTGTTCATGTGATGAGGCAACAAGAAAAAAAGTAGAAGGAATTACTGGACTATTTTAAGTGCTTATTGAACTAAAGCAAAAAATTTTTGGAAGAAAAAAATAATGCCCTATCACATGAAATTTAATGATACCCTGAAAATCACCACAAAGTTTGCATATTATTTAACCAAATGTTCTGGGTGTTAAGTTGAAAAATGTTTTTTTTCCCACAGAATTGTTATCGAAAACATGGCATATCAGCTGCAATGCTCTTAAAGAAGGCTTATGAGCTACAGAATAAATCACCTAAAACTGTTAATCCGGAAGCAGTTTGTGGAACGTTTTCGCCGATCCCAAAAGATTTATATCCATCTTTCTTTCAAATGTGTCGTATGAAAATTGATCTAGAGGTAATTATTGAAATCAAATTAGTTTTTATTATTCTAGCATGATAGATAGCGAAACTAAACATAACAAATATCTAATAATCGAAAAAGGTTTTTAAAAAATGTTCAATATGAAAAAAAAATCATAGAAGTGTTAAAACTATTTTTTCTGAAGAAAAGTTTGATATCCAGAAAAGAATGTAAATTCACTCTCTTGTGCAATTATCGAATTTAGTTCTTAAATTGTGGGTCTAGATCCTAATCAAGGTTCGTGAACCGGCAGCATAAGTCGCCAAAAATGTTAGTAATTTTGATATTTATTTTAGATTATTATAATAGTTTTTAAATTACCGAATATTTTAAAACAAAAACGTTTTGACGCATTTGAATTACATTTTAAGTTTGATACTTATTTAAAAATTTTCACATTGTTCTATATCTTAAAGTTAAAGATCTAAAGCTGCAATAGTATATTACAAGTCCAAGTGAAAAAACTGATAGCTATACTCACGGGTTTGTCGGATTTGAGCAATGCTTATTAAGTTCACACACAAAAAAATTTAAGAAACTCTGCTCTAATGAAATTATGTATATTATGTATATTTATGCATATTATGTATATTTATGCATATTATGTATATTATGTACAATTATGTATATTATGATTTGCTTTTTGAATATAATGTATTAATTTTTTTCCCTAGACTTTAGAAAAGAAAAAAATAATAGATCAAGAAATCGACTTTTTAAAACAGAGGTATGTACTGAAAATACAAACATTTTAGCCACTTTATTCATATTTTATTTTAAAAATATATTTATATAATTCCAGGGAAGATGCTTTAGAAATTAAAAGTAATTATTTAAAGGAATTGCAGAAACTACAAATGATGCGAAGAGATTTGATGTTAGATTCAATGGAATTTCAGGTAAGGCTAAAACAATATTTTTTGCTTTTAAAAATTATCTTTTCATGTAAAGTAGTAATTGCAATATCATTATAGGATGCTGATGCTTTAGAAACCTTAAATAAAAAACTACTGAAAATTCAGAGTTTAATTCAAGAAAATTTAACCAATCAGGTAAGTTTAATTTAGTCAATTGTTTCAAAATTATTTTAGGTTTTCTAATTTTTTATTTCTTGTAATGGTCAAGACACACTTTAAAAATAAAGTTAGGAATAAAAAAAAATTTAAAAAACACAATTGTTTAATCTCTGTAAATCTGGGATATCTACTGAAGAATTGTCCAAATCGTTTGAATATTTAGAATGTCCTAATATGCTTTTTTTTTCAACTGTACAATTTAAGCCTTTTTGCTTATTAAATAAGTGTTTACATGTTTTGGTAGTCCATGATTTGAATATTTTTTTTGGTAGGCTAGTAAGTGTTGTTTCATCTAAGTCTAATAAGTCTTGTTTCAGCTAAGTCTAGTAAGTGTTGCTAACTAATCACATTTTAAGTTCTTAGTCAAGTTGAATTTTTCTACAATATGTTTAAATCCAGAAATTTTATTGGATTTCTGCTATACATTATGAATCTGAATTTAAGCATCAACAAAAAGATTTACCCTCTACCTCTCTTTTTAAAAAAATGTAGGTAGGAAAAATGTAGAAGAAATGTAAAAAAATGTAGAAGTAACACAATCCGTTCAAATAACTCTGAGCTAGAAAAAAACTCTGCTCTTTTTTATTATTATAATTATTTATGCTTAACATCTTATACTTTTAATGAATTAATGACCTACAACATTAATCAGGCTGAAACGCAGCAAAAATCCAAGATATCATTGTCTGAGCCAGACAGGAGAGACTATCCTTACTCATGAACATGTATACATAAATAAAGTAATTCTAATAAGCTGTAAAATTTTAAAGCACATTTTCAAAATGCAGAAGATTGAGTCTTGATGCAGAAAATGGTACATAAATGTAGATGAGTTGCAGCTATGTAAATAGATCTTTTTAATTGACATATAGTTGTTTTGATTAAGATAAGAAACTGCAAAATTCAAGGTTTACTCTATAAACTTTCAGTTTTATTTCATTAACCAGGGTTAGGGTTTTGAACAGGACACGTGGGTTCAACTGTCATAAACTGACTAAAACTGTTTTTTTAAAGTGTCCAAAACATTGAACATAGGTAAAAGGGTGAAAATTCTATTTGTGTAACCATTGTAGAGATAATAATTACATAAATTATTAAATATTTAATACTTTTTATACACTTTGCTTTAACTTATAAAACGAAAATAATATAATAGGAAAAGATTTATAACTTTTGAAGCTCTACAATTCATTGAACAACAAAAGTGAATACCTTATCCTTTAAATATGCTTTTAATACTGATAAATAATGTTTTTGTATAAGGATAAATAATGCAATATTAAAAATAATAATAAACTTTTTATTAGAAAACAAAAACTTGTCTTCATTTTGTTTATTGTTCAAAATTAACCTTTTATTTTTCATAATATTTTTTTTAAATTGACATAATCTGAATAAAAAAGTTTTGGACAGGACGGTTTAAACCGTGGATCATTCTATTCTGTCCTAAACCTTGCCAACTCTGCATTTAACCTTTTCATTTTTAAAACATTCACTTTNCAGTATTTTTGTTTAAAAAATTGTGACATAATTTGAATTTAAAGTTTTGGACAGGACGGTTCAAACCATGGATTATTCTATTGTCCTAAACCTTGCCAACTCTGCATTTAACCTTTTCATTTTTAAAACATTCACTTTCGTATTGATGTTTACTTTTTTATATCTTAGACTACATTGTTTTCAACTTATCATTCCATTTAAATGTTAAGCTCTGCTTTCATTATTTCTTCAGTGTCGGATTGTAAACATAATTTATTACATTTTAATATTGTTAGATGGGCATGTTGAAGGAGGCTATTGGAGAAGAAATACTGTTTGAAGATGCTAAGGTAAAAAAAAAACCTAATTAGTTAACACTTTTAAATCTTTGCTATGCAAATTTGGGCATTTTCTAACAGGTTTAATTTATATATTTTTGTTTTAATTACAGGACTCCAAGAAACAGTATTTTGAATTTCAAGATTATATTAAGAAACTAAGACGAAAAAATTCTTAAAAGAATTTATAATTGTATTTATGTAAATTGTAAATAAATTTGTTTTTTTTTTTTAAAAAAATTACTTTATTTATTAATAGTTGTGACACATATTCATCAATCTCTGGTTTGTGTCTCATTTATGAACAAGCTTAATTTTGAGAAAAACGAATTTCAAAGTTTGAGAGAGTTGACATGTGACAAGTAGTTATTTATTCCCTAAACATTTTAAAACAATCCTTGATGGTTAAAAAAATTTATTAAATTAGGTTGAACAAGAACAGTTTTTTTTTTCACAATCCCTCCAAATCAATATTTCCTCACTAGAATTCTTGTCATTTTCTTCACTATGCTGTTCTTTTTTTTTTCTACACCTAGACAGGAAACAGTTTTTTTTCCAACACGACCCATTTTCATCATGGAATAACTCTAGGGGAGAACCGAATTTCCAGGTAACGTTACTGATTTGTCATAACTAAGTAATCCTAAAAATGCAACAGATGGTGATCCAATTGCCATTTTTGTGGAAAATGTACATAAACCGCTCTTGATCTTCGAATATAATAATTCTTTTTTATGTTCATTTGAATACTTTTGAAATTTTTAATTTGCCTCATGATGTTGTTGAAATTGGTTAAAAGAAAAATAAATTAGATTTTATTTATTTAGTGATTAATTAATGTTGACAATTTGAGTTAGGAGTATTAAGTTTTTTAGTTATAATTTTGTTTAATAATAAAGTATTATCAATGTATTTAAACAAAACTTTGATTTATATAAATAAACTTAAAAGGAAAAAAAAAATCTGATATTTTTAAAAAAACATGATTTTTACAAACACTATTTGTTAAAAAGAAGCTATAACATGATTGCTATTCTTATGTTTGAAAAATACATAACTCTGTGCATTTGAGAAAAATTTAATACGCAGAATTATTAAATTGTACAATCAAATTATATATAGTACATGAAACAGATTTGATGCATTAAAACTAATATTATTCTCCTAAAATTTCTAGGAATTGGTAGTGGTTTTCAGAAGCTTTGCAGTGAGGATTAATTTGATTTGTTATAAAGTTTATTTGTTTGTTATATTTGAATTTAAATTATATAAATTTTTTAATATCTATTTGTTAGTCATGTGAAATTTAAATCATAAAAACAAAACCTTCATTAATAAAACAAATTTTTTTTCTAATACCAAACAAACAAAAAAACTAAGCGGAAGTAAAAAAATTCCAAAATAAAGAAAAAAATTTTAATTCTAATAATTAGAATTCTCTAAGAAATATGTATTACAAATGGGCTGTATTTATAAAAATTTAAATTGTATAAATCTAAGAGATAGTAAACTACACTATCTGGCCATTAATGACCGGACACCCTTCATTTCGGATTAATGAGGTGCTAGTATCAAGACAGTAGGGCGTAGGGCCGCCACGCACCTAAATCACAGCTTTAACCCTTCTAGGAAGGCTATCCACTAGGTGTTGGTACACGGAGGCAGGTATTGCCTGCCATTCCTCCTGTAACATGGCGAAGAGTTGAGTGGTGGTTTTGGGGCATTGTGGTCTGGCCCTCAACCGGCGCTCCAACTCATCCCAGAGATGCTCAATTGGATTGATGTCGGGACTTTGGGATGGCCAGTCAAGCTCTTGCACCTCCATTTCATCAAACCAGTCCGTGATGGCATGTGCTTTATGAATGGAAGCGTTATCGTGTTGAAACACAAACGGGCCATTACCGAACTGTTGCAACAAGGTGGGAAGCGCCGAATTGTCCAGGATGTCTCTATACCCTTCTGCGTTCAGGGTTCCACGCACTAACACCAAGGCCAAACCATGAGAAACAGGACCAAATCATAATTCCTCCACTGCCGAACTTCACAATGGGGACAATGCACTCCGGTAAGTACCATTTTCGGGGCATTCGCCAGGTCCACACTCGTCCATCAGAGTGCCACAACATGTAGCGTGACTCATCACTCCACATAACGCTCTTCCATTGCTCTACTGTCCACTGGCGACGTGCTTTGCACCACTGAAATCGGTGGCGGGCGTTTGATGGAGAGATGTTTGGCTTATGTGCTGCTGCTCGTCAATGGAATCCTTGTGCAATCAGCTCCCGACGAATGGTATGTGCACTGGCAACATTGCCAGATGCAGCCCGGAAGTTGGTAGCGACAGTGTCCAACGAGATTTGTCGGATTGCCATCATTACACGTCGAAGAGATCGTCGATCCCTGTCGAACATTATTTTGGGCTTGCCGGGTCGGGACTGCGGTTTTATCACTCCCTCTCGTTCCCATTTCAACACGACGTCACCAACTGTTGACTGTGGTACCTGAAACTTGTCGGAGATAACGCGTATGGAATGACCAAATCGGTGGGCGCCTATGATCATGCCCTTTTCCGCCTCATTCAGCTCTCNGTCATGTGGAATTTAAATCATAAAAACAAAACCTTCATTAATAAAAAAAAAAATTTCTAATACCAAACAAACAAAAAAACTAAGCGGAAGTAAAAAAAAATTCCAAAAGAAAGAAAAAAAATTTTTAATTTTAATAATTAGAATTCTCAAAGAAATATTACAAATGGGCTGTATTTATAAAAGTTTAAGTTGTATAAATCTAAGAGATGGTAAACTAGGTTTCTGCAAAGTGATCTTGATAAAAAAAGTAATTAGATATTAATATTTTTTTTCTTCCTACAGCAGGCACTGAGCTTTCATTCTTTATCACAGCAGATAGGAAGAGTTGCTCATTTAACGTTACCCAATGGGCACCTGTGAACCCAATTCACGGAGGTGAGCAACATTACCCACGCCACAGATATCCGTTTATAGGGTAGGCCACATTCACACAACACACAGAGAGAAACATCCATGCCCTAAGCAGGATTCCAACCCGCAACCATTGGCTTCACAGTCAGACACGCTGGCGCCGACATATTAATATCTTTAATATATATCTTTATGATGAATCAAATAGCAACATTTTATTACCTTAGCAATATATTTATACAGTAAACACCCCTGATATAATTACTACCATTCAATCAAAAATTGACATAATGTGCGGTCACTATTATAAATACAGTCAAATCTCGAACTTGAAGGGAGAGGAGAAAAAATTCGAGATATCGAAAATCGCATGTTATCGATGGTACAATAAAGAAAAATGCTCTTTACATACCTTATTTACTATTCCATATTTATTCTAAAAACACTTTTTACACTTTCATTTAAAAAAAGATTCAATTGTTGTTTGCTTTAGAGATGTGTAAGAAAGTTTGTCTATAACACTACCTAAGAGGACTAGAGCTTTAAAAGTCTCCTCTGACATATTTGGCTGCCTCTCAATAAATATCCTTACAGTGTCCACTGCAGAAAGTGCTTGTTTGTTAGTAACATTGAGCGGTAAATCTTCGATTTCCTCATCCTCTTCTTCTGATAGTTCACAAGAAGCTTTCGTTTGAGCGATGATATCATTGTCATCCCACTGACTGCATCATCTACATTTACAAAGTCATGAAATTCCATGTCCTCAAGCTTCATGAGTCCGGTCAATCTGTTTCAATCATTTTCGGTGTAGTTTTCAAAAGAATTAACGATATTGATTGTTTGACTACTGTTGTGATCTTTAATGAATCCAGACTTCTTGAATCCATTCATTATTGTAGAGGAAGACATATCATTCCATGCCTTGTCAGCCATTCTTAAAATTTTTTATTTTTTTGGAATATTTTTTTTATTTTAGAAAAAAAAATCTACACTATTTATGGAGAAAAAAATTCAAGTTATCGAGGGATTAGAAAAAAAAATTTGTGAAATCAAGTTTTTTTTATCATTGAGTGTACAGAAATTTGAAGGGAATTTTTTTATCTTCGAGATATCGAAAAATTCGCGAGATCGAGGTTCGACTGTATATAAAAATTATGCAATCATTTATTTACTTTTTACTTAAAAAATAAATTTTAGTTGATAGATTAATAATAAACGACATAAATTGTTTTTCCTAAATTTAAATACAATAACTCACTCTCATCTTAGATGAAAACACTGATACAGTATTTCAGCTAAAACGTTAAAAAAAAAGTGCTAACTAAAGAAAACTTTCATGCATACTTAATATAATCTTTTCCAAGACTTAAAAAAAAATCTGAGAGGTTACTTAATTTAAATTTTAGAAAGTAGTTGGATTGATGTTTTTATCAAAAAGGAATTTACAAATAAAACCATTGGGTAATGGTTCAATTTATAAAGAAGTTTTTTTTATTGCTAGAAAATATTAAATATATCATAAGTTGCGGTGGATGAGTGGTAACACTTCTCTCTCCCATGCAACTGGTCTTGTATATCCACCCAATCAGAACTTCTGCTCCTGCACCCCAGAGCCCTTGGCTCTCCATGGGCTGTCATGTCACTGAGTTTATTATTTTTTTTAAATATATTTTTCTATATGCTAACTTTTGTTGTTGTAAGACAATAAAATCACACCCTGCAATACAGTATAAATCTTAACCCTCCCGATTTGAGAGGGGTATCAGTTTCATCCCACACTACAGGTCACGTGAATATCACGGGCGAAGAATTTTTTCCCCTTGTTTCAATACTGATCTCACTATTTCCCCGTGTAGGTTAAAAAATATCTGATGCTTATTTTCGTTGCTAGATGACGGGTTCAGGATTTTTTTTCTCTCTCTTGCTTTATTCCCCACCCCCCTCATATTTGTGAAATTGCATGCTTTTTGTTTTTCTTTCAAGCGATAAGCATTTATGAAAGATGGACACGGTGTTATAGGTGGGGCCAGGGTTGCAAAAAACCCATCTACCCATTAAAACATAGATGGGCTTTACTGGGTAAAACCCACCCTAAAGTGGGTTTTTCTAAAATTGATTTCTTTTTTATCCTCTGTTATATTAAAGAGCTATTCCATTGAAATATATATGTCGTCTAACCTAAAAAATTTAACCTATGGTGAAAAAACTGTGTTTGGACACTGGACAGTCACCTTGCTGGCTAGATTTAACTGTATGCCCATTGATTAGTCAGTGCCTTTGATTCGCTTTCTATGCAAAAAGGAAAAAAAATGTAAAAATATTTTTTTAAATATAAATAAAAGGTAATCCTGTGTTAAAATACGTTTCAAATGTGTGATGTATGTGAGTGCATATAACATTTTGTATCGTCATGTCAGAAGAAACTTTTTTCAGACTTTTGCACCAATTTACTTGTTTTAATTACACTTTACTTACCTATATGTTAAGTCAATTCATAAAATTAAACTTAATTATTAATATTAAAATAATATATTTATCCCTGCCCTCTTTTGAAAAAAACCCAATAAAACCTACCCGGATTGGGGTTTTGCAACCCTGGGAATAACAAACAAAAGTATCTTGATTATAAAGATAGGCTTTGGAGTATTCCATAAATCTGGGCTTTTATTTTTTCTGTTTTATTACAAAATTTCTGTAATGTATACAAATGCCTGTAATTCTGTAGCATAACAATTATCATATGAATTTTTTCACTTAATAACCCTGTCCGCTGAAATAGCAGGCGCCATATTATATATTATTTTAAAACGTAAAAAGCTAATAACATTCTTGTATTATTTTAAAACTGAAGAAGATGTGAATTGTAACATAGATAAAGAAAATATTAATCTCCCCGTATTTCAGGACTGGAAAGTATAAAAACTGAGCTGCATGCCGAGGGTGAATATAACCCTTCACGAACTTAGTGTGCCTTTAAATATATGTGCCATGTTAAAAAAAATTAAATAAAACTTATTTTGTAAAATAAAGGAGAACGTTGTTATTGCTCTTGTAGAATCTATTAAAATGGTATTAGAGAACAATTTCCAATCTCTCCGTACATCTTAAATTAAAAATGAAGACTCTAGTAGCATTAACAGGCAAAGTTTATTTCAAAATATTTTTTTGAGTTACATTATTTACAAAAGCGAGTTATTTGTACCATTATTAATAAATCAAAAAATTTACCACTGAAATCAGTATTACACTGATAGTTAAATAAAAACAGAATGGTGAACACTGTTTTTTAGAAATAAGGCCTTTGGTTTCAACTGCCTTAGCAAAAATGTTATACCAAATTGGTAAAAAATTTGAAGCAAAAAATAAAGAATTATAGAGTTAAAAGAAAATTTTAGAGGGCAGGAGATTAAGTGGATTTTAAATTGAATATTTCAATAAAGAATGCTTCAATAATTAAATATCAAATAAGCTTTTAAAGCAAATAATTAGAAGAAAGAGCAATGTTAAAACAAAACAATAGCAACTCAAGTAAAATGGCAAATACAGTCAAGATTAAGGCTTTTATAAAAAGATTATTATTTCATTAAGAAATTTGTCAAAAACAGAATGATTAAAAGCAATAAATTCTCAGACAAAATCACATGTAGAATTAGAAAAGTGCATAAATAAAATACAATCATGACTAATACTAGTGTAATAATAACATAATTGACAGTTTCTTTGATTAAAATTAACAAAAGAAAAAAGTTCAACATTAAATTTTTAAACAAAAATCATGAACTGGAATTAATTGGTTGAAAATAATTCAAAAATTTGCATTATTAAATCAATAACTTGAATTTGTAAAAGTAGATATCACCAAAAAAAGGAATTTAAGTAAATTCTTAATCGATTTTTACATTATAGGTAAAAAAAAGTTTTTTCATGTAGTCTAAATTGTAGTAACATAGTTTTTATTACAATTTCAGCTTCATTAAAATAAATTTTTTAACATGCTTATATAAATTATATAGAATGTGTACAATACATTTTGAGAACTTAATAAATACATAAAGATTTTCCATTAGAAAATTTGATTTTGTACTGTTCTTTGATAAGTGTATCAAATTATTAATAGGCAATTTAAAAATAATAAACCTAACTTAATCCTATTTTTGTGTCCCTTTTCAATACAATAACTGTAACTAGTTTTAGAGCAATAAATATAACACTATAAGAGAATTAATTCTGATCTTGCACAAGAATGTGCATATTACTAAACATTAAACACAAAAATTAAAAAAACATCAAAATTGATTCTACAATTCTGCAGACAATTCAATGCCTGATTTTTAAAACTAAACTTCCAAACCAAGTTTAATAGTAAAAATCTGACGTTGTACATCAGTTGCAATAAACTGCACACAAAAATTTAGCAAAAAAATATATAAAACACTAACAAATCACATTTTTTTTACTGACAAAGTCTTGTTTGAAATTTTTAACTTATGACACAAACTATTAACAAATATAAGTGTAAAAATAACATAAGAAATAGCTTCGTTTTCTTAGAAAAAACATAGTGAAGAAACAATTTAATGAACAAAAGTGTCGAACTCAAATTTTAAAAATGAATTTCTAAGTGTTACCCTAAGGGTAAATTTTATTTTAATAACGCAAAAATTGTTAACATAGTTTTTGTTATAACTTCTGCTTCATTAAAATAAAAATTATTTATAACACATAATAATTATATATAATACGCATAAAAAATTTTGATATTAATTCATAAATAAATTTTTCTTCAAATTCATATATAAAATTTTCTATTAATTTAGGATGATTCTAACTATATGAAAAAATTTAATTCATTACTACACAATTCATTGAATCCTTGATATACAATTTAAAATCAAGTTTAATTCCGTGTTAGATTTTGTATTCATTTTAATACAGTAATTATAACATTTATTTTCATACAATAATTATAACATCATTTATGAAATAACTTATCTAGGACAAAACTGTACATGTATTACTGACTATTAAACACAAATTTTTTAAAAAAAAATGTAAAATTGATCTTATAATTCTGGAAACATTTGTATGCCTGATGATTAAACTAACTATTTGGTTCTAGACCCTGCATGGTGGTAATAATCTGATGTTATACATCGGTTGTAAGTAACTGCATACAAATTTAGTATAAAAATATATGAAACACTACAAATCACATCTTCGTTTTAAAAATGTCATGTTTGAAATGCACCTTAGTTATCACAGAAAAAGTAACTTATAGGTGGACTAGCACACTACATAAAAATGCCATCTCTAAAAATAAAACACAATAAAAAAAATCTAAGTAGAAGAAATCAAATGAAAGCTTTTCATGTGTATATTGAAAAAAATAATACACATTTATCACAAATTTATTCAATTACAAGAATCAAAATTTTGAATAAATAAATCTAACTCATCAATATATATCTATATCTAAAAATATCAATTTTTTGCATTCTGTAATAATTAAACTGAAACTATATGTATTTACAAAAATGTTTGTAAATACAAATGTATTTACATTTTTTAGCAAACATTTAGCGTGCACTGTAAATTATTACACATACACAATAATTATTTTTTAGACAGGTGTAAGGACTGTATATTGTGTATATAAGTTTTTCTAAATGGTAACAATAAGTAAAGCTTACAAAATATGTTAATGAGGTTTATGTAAAGTTAAGAGCAATAAAAATACTAGCAAGATTTATCTGGTATAAATTCTAAGTACATACTTTGCATATTAGAAACACTTTTATAAAACAAGTTTTTATGCTGTATAAAAAAAAAAATGCTTGGTTTGACATACCTAAAGTAAAAATCAAGAGGTTTTGAAATTAATTTATAAAATTTTGCTTAAGCAAATTAGTATTTCTCATTTAGTAAATTTACACTCTAAAAGTAATCAGACTGTAGCTGATAATAATCGTAGGTTTGTCTTAAAAAAAGAGAATTTTGTTAATCAAGAGGGTTTGATTATTATTTATTGAAGCTAAAAGCATAGTTATACAAACAACTACACTTACAAAAACATAATTAAAGTCGTTAGTTTATAGTGAAATCAATATAAAATAACTATATTTCCAACTAAGGGAAAATTATGTTTTACATGGTATTAATTATTTTTTTAAACTTTTAGCAAAAATTTAAGAAGTACAATGTGGAAAGAGGAGAAAAATATGCATTATAATCTAACAGGATTTTAAATTTATAAAAAACTAACAAATCTAATGTTTTCAATTAACACGTGCAAATTTAAAAAAAAAACACATCTTTCACTAATCCAGTTGAATATTATAGGCATCAATTTTTATTTACATAAAAAAAATTAACGGTAAATGCTGAAAATCTGAAGGAAATATCACATTAAATCAAATTGTCTCTCATAAAATGTTATTGAAGGAAAAAGAATCTAAGAATTAAAATGTCTAGCAAAAATTTAAATTTAAAAAAAAAATCAGATCAAAGGAAATGCATGAGGTGGGTTGTTATGGGAAAAAAATAATAAATAAATAGATGCATCACAGGATAAAAGCAAATTGCAATGAATACCAGGAACAAAATAAATTAAAATACGTTAACAATTATGAATAGATTGTGATAACTTCTCTTCCACCTCCTCTAACCATCAAAACTCTTTCCAAACCTTCTGTTAGAACTTCCAAAAACTCCATATCTAAACCAGGTTAAGTTAATACTGTTAATAAAAACCCTTGTTGTAACTGTTATAAGAAAAAATAAGGTACAACAGTTTACTTTTTAGTAGCATATAATCAAAGCTGTTAAGTTCATGTTTAAAAATTTAGTTATATTCAAATGAACCCCTTTTACTGAATTAATACAGTAGGGAACCGATTATCCGGAACGATCGGGACCATCGCTATTCCGGATAACTGATTTTTCCGGTTTTCTGAATCGTTACAAAAAGCCGTTTTTTTTTTATTGTTAAATCCAACTGAAAAAAAAAAATTCGGAAATAATCTTAAAAAGAAGAAAAAACGAGGAAGTAATACACTAATTATTATTTCCAAAATGATGGTATGGTAAACATCTTTAAAAAAAGAACGAAAAATCCTAATATCTTATGAGGAAAAAAATTTTTTTTATTAAAAATGGCGGGAAAATTTACCGAATTTCGTTCCGGTTTTTTGGTTTCCGGATAACGGGTTCTGTACTGTACAAAAATTTCCATGCAAAACATATCACCCTTAAATAACTTGTGGAAAATCCGGTTTTCTATGCAAGAAAATAAACTAGTTTCCTACCTGAGTTTGGAATTGACTATTAAAGGAATTACTTGATATAAAATTGAAGTGTAAATATGTAATATTAAAATGAAAATCATATTTTAAATGAAAAGAAAAAGTAAGATTTAAAAAACACTATTTAGAATTAAAAATTACTCATTTATTGGTTTCTAAATTTTAGAAACTGGCTACTTTTGATATTTTATCATTGAATAAAATTTATTGATTTGTCAACACATGTTAGTCAATACAAGAGCACCAATTTTAAAAAAGGGACATAATTAAAAATTTAACTTTATATAAAATTAATTAAAATGATTTAATATTTTTATTAATTCAATATTAATATATTTCTCTAAAATTTTATTCAAAATTTTTTGATCTATTTATCTCTTTGTTGATAGGCAATTTTGAGCAAAAACTATGTCAAACGAGTTAACTTATCACCGGTCAACAATGTGCTAAATGTTATGACACTGTTATAATTTAATTATTATTACGATGCCAAACTGTAATGTTGCCTTTCTGTAGTTCGACAGCTATTTTTTTAAACTTGAGCAACAGTTAAAATTTTAAACAGAATTATTAAGATTAAAAATGAAACATTTAATAACACTATCAACAAAATTTTTTGCAACTAATAAACTGCTAAAGTTAAAAACAAGAATTCATAAAGAGATTAAAAAACAATATAAAAGAAATACATTATTAACATAATTTAAAACTAATATAAAGAAATTCTTGGAGAAAAAAAATAAAAGAAAGAAAATTTTTTCCATAAGTTTTAAAAGCTTTCTATAAACATGTAGTTAATTGTAAAATCTATACAACATAGTGAAAATCCAGAGGCATTCCTGCTACTGCATGGAATCAAATATGAATCCTACAATTTAAATTTCCAGATTTGTCTAAGTTTCTTGATCAAAAACAATAATCTTTAAATTTAATTATAATCAACTTTGAATGCTGAATAAAGAAATCCAGTTATACCAACCATTTTCAAAAACAGGTCATATTAGAGTGATGATACATAACACTTAATATTCAATTTGATAATGAAATTTTTGAAATCATAACAACCATGTAACACTAAATATGAGTTTTTAAAAAGATAAAATGATAAACAAAAATTGCAAAACTGCCAAATTTTTTTTTATTTATTACAACAAATATAATACTAAGAGCCATAAATTAACTTATCTGCTAGCAAACAGATAAAATCAAATGTTTAAAAAAAAACCTCAGGGTCATCAAATACTTCATTAAAATATTTCACAAGGATATACATTTTTGAAAACTCTAAATAATAACTAAGTAGAAACTATCCAATTAAATTCATAAAAAAACTTTTTTTTTTTTTTTTTTTTTTGATAAATGGGGTTTAAAATAAGCTATAGCTATCTTAATTTTTCACAACCAATTTTATATTAAACAAAAAAATTATAATATATTAAATAATAATGATCTTAAAGTATAAATAGTATGTTTTTTGAAAACACAGTTAAAAGTTCATAATGATTTTGACTAAATTTTTCATATCTATAAAAAATTTATATAATTTAAAAAATATAAATTATAATTACAGTGCAATTATGGTACAAGTTATGTAGCTTGACTTCGAATAAAATGTCCCTCAATAACATAAAAGAAATTATATTCAGGTCTTTGACAGTTTTTATCATGTTTCAACAGTTTTAGACACTTTTTAACAGGTTAGGTTTTTGACGAGTCATGTCAAAAAACCAACCCCGATCATCATGCCATTGGTAACAAAAATAAAAAACCTTAACCTTCAAAACTCCTCTATCCCACAAAGGGCTATTGCGGTCATTTTTTTAAAAAAAATTATATGTATTAAAAAAATTAAATATAATGAATGATTTTAAAAAAGAATGTGTACTAAAAGTTCAGTTACTAATTATAAAGGATACAATTCGCCTTCACTGTAGTGGTTTTTGGAAGTCCCGGCAAATTTAAGATGACTAACTGAGCATTATGAGATCTTGCAACAATAACTTCATTCAACTTTACAGCAGTATGCATCCTACGAACGTTAGCTTCATCTCTGAAAAACAAATAAGATTAAATCTGTCAAGATATTATAAAACCAGTAACTAGAAAGTGCTATATTTTAATGACTACTTGGAATTTTAAAGACATGAAAGAGTAAAGTTGACTGATGGCCGACAAATGAACTATAATTATTTAGACGATAAGGTTTTTTGACATCTAAAAAATAATTATTTTTAAAGATAAATTTTGAACTTAAATCTGAGGCCATTGTATATCAGAAGTTTAGGATTCCCAGGATTTACTTTTTTGTGTTACTCTTTTATAGAATTTTATGTTGAGTAAGTAGGTATATAAGGGGAGATTGTGATACAAAGTAAAAAACCTGTAGATTTTATGTTACAATATCAAAATATCAAATTATGTACCGCACATGTTCCATTTTAGCATAATTTTTCGAACCAAGATTTACAGTTAAATCACCTACCAAGGACGAATATCACACATTTATAGTAATTAATTTAAGAAAAACTTTGCTCTAACAAGAATTGTGATATTGGATTTTAAAATCTCGTGAATATGAATTGCAATATTGGATTTTAAAATTGCATGAATACAAATCACGATATTCGATTTCTAAATTGTGAGGAATTGCAATTTGACATTTAGCTTTAAAATCATGCATAAATACGAAAATGGGTGAGCTATAAAGGATTGAATACGAATTGCAATATTGGATTTTAAAAAAGTGTTACAATGAATCACGACATTGAATTTAAAAACGCGTAAATACAACTTATGATATTGGGTTTTTAAATTGTAATGTGTACTTTTTAAATCAGGTAAATACGAAAAACGACGATTGATAATAAAATCATGTGAATATGAATTGCAAATATGACACAGTTTTAAAAGTGTGTGCGTGTGTGAAATGAAAGTCTTGTCTATAAAAATGATATTAATAGGAGAATTATTAATGCAAATTGTAAATATTAACTAAGTATACTACTTTAAACATTAAACAACTTACGGTCTGATTGTTAAAAGTTTATCAAAGCTTTCATTTTGTGCATCCCCATCTGCCTGGCTGTCATGACTACCAGAATCCTCTGTTGTTACATCAATTAATTCTACATCTTGAATCTCTTCTGTAACTTCATTGAATCTTACTCTTGAACCCTTTTTATTACTAGCTTCATAATGGTGGTGATCAACAATATGTTGCACCTGTATCACAAAAAAAAATTTTTAAAAACATTCATGATCATTGAGTTTTAAAAACTAGCAGCACATTGTATTTTAACATTGAATTATTAAACCAGGGGTAATTGTGACACAAAGTGAAAAAACCTCGAAAAATTTTGTGCGCAAAAACTCGATAGCAAGACATCAATTTATATGCTATTCATATTTAATTTTTTGAACTAAGATTTATAATTAAGATACCTACCAATAAAGAATATCACACTTTTATAGTAGCTAATTGAAGAAAACAAAACTAGTGATATTGGATTTTTAAAATTGCATGATTATGAATAGCGATATAGGATTTTGAAAATTCGAAAATACAAAACGTAATATTGGATTTTTGAATCACGATGTAAGATTTTTTAGATCCTGTGTATACGAATAGCGACATTAGATTTTAAATGTGTGTGACAATTTTGGCTAAATACTTGCAGTAGCGATGTGTACACACAATGTAGCGACCTCACAATATAATGCTAATTTTCACTGGATTGCAAGGGTCTTTGCATCAAGTGTCAATTGAAATTATGGTTATTTAAATTAAGCATCAATAAATTATCACACTTTTAATAAATAAACCACAATAATAAATAAATCATAATAAAAATAAATAAATCACTATAATAAATAAATCACAATAATAAATAAATTATAATAATAATAGATAAATCACAATGAAATAAATGAATCACAATCAATAAATAACTCCCATTTTTGCTTTTAAAATATTGGATACGTAAAATCCAATAATTAATAACTAATTTGTAGCTTGAAGAGAAGCATAAATAGATTGATAAAAAAATTACCTCTTTAAATGAAGTTCCCCCAATTGATAACTTAAGTTGCTTTAGTATTTCATTTCTTTGTTCCATTAAAAGTGTTCTTTCATATGTATAAGCAGATATATCACTATCCATCTATGAATATGAAAAAAAAGTTAGAAAGAAATTTATGGAAGTTTGTAAAAGAATAAAAATCAAAGTATCATAATTTAATATCCTGGGATATCAATTGTTATAATAGATAAACAAAAATAATAACAGTTAATCATTAAAATCTAATATTTTAAGATAAATTATACTTTACATAAAATACTTACTTTTTATATAAATAAATATTATTCTAAAAAAAGCATAGTATTATTAATTCAAATTTTACATAACACGAACATTTTATATACCATTTAGAATTAGACAATAAATTAAGGACATTTTCATAAGCGCTACACATATTACTGTGAGATCATTTATTTATATAAAACAAATTTTAAAAAATATGTTTTTTAAACAAATTTTAGAGAACTATGCAGTCATTATTTGGCGTAAATTTTTATTATTCTTACTTAAAGTTTTGAACTGCTCCACATAGAAAGGCAAAAAGCAGACTTTTCAAGTTTTTTTTTTTGGTCTTGCTTTAATTATGTCATTCAAATGTTATAAAAAAAACCTTTATTTCATAAAACTGTATTATGTAACTTTTTATATGAGAAATTAAGAAAAGGAGGCTTAGGGAATAGTGTGCTCATCTCCCAATGCTCAGGTTAAAATCCCAGCGACAGCTTTTTGAAAGAAATTCTGCACCCAGCTCGTACCCACTACTGACAAAAATATCCCACGTGGTAGACACATTATAAGTTAGAGTCCCCTTGCTATCAGGCTAACCATGGGAAGTTTTCGTGGCTTTCTTCTCCATATAACGTAAATGCGAGTTAGCTTCATCAAAGTTTTCCATGAAGGCAATGTCCCCCAATACTTAATCCAACAGTTTGCTTTATCATCTGGATTGGGTTCAAAATCGCAAGGCTACGGAGTTTACTATTGGCAGTCGTAAACTCAAAATTGGGTCAGCTGTTCAAGGACATTGTAATAAAAGGAAAAATAACAATTCATTAAATTAATCGAAAATTTGTTGTAAATTGGCTGATATTTAAAAACAAGAAGAAAAAACAAGGATAATATTGAACAGATTTTGATGGCTGTAATTAAAAAGTCATTTTACCTTCAATTTTTCTTATAAAATTTCATTTGAAATATGAGAAACAAAATTTACATACATTTGATAAGTTCAAATACATATGTATATATTAGTCAATTAGGTTACAGATCTTTCAAATATATTTGCTTTAATTATTTATTTTGAACTTCTACCAGACATTACTTAAAACTCATAATTAATGTTAAAATAAAAGCAATGTACAAAGAATAAATATAAAGGTCTAATATTGTCTACAACAAAAAAAACAGCATTGTATTAATAAAAGCTTTTGCAACAAAAATGTTATTTAGAAAATAAAAATGAAAGCAAAAGTGGAGAAAAAGGTTAGTAGAAATAAAAAATAATAAAAGAAATCTAGGTAATTAAACTAAAACATATATACCAGTGGAATACATAATAGAGAAATGAAGGAAGGCCAAGAGCAAGAAGACCTAAAACAAATAGCTAGATTAGAATGTGTCAACAGAAAATATAAATAGAAGGTATGAAAATAAAACTTAATTAAGGATTATGGTACAGAGAAGAATGATTATAAAAGTGTTAAAATTATAATAAGAATTTTTCAATTTGCATTCAGTAGCATACCATTTCAACGACTTCGACTTCAGCTTCGATTCTCAAATGATAAAGAAATCTTGCTAAATCTTTTTTCATCTGAATGCTATTATCCTCGAGTTCTATTTTTAACATTAAGAAAAAAATATTTCTCATAAACAAGACTGTTAAAATTTTAAGGTGCTGCACTTCATAGAATACTATTTGACATTTTCTCATGTGCAAATTCATAAAGATAAGTGTTTAACCGTTCATTATAATTTTACAAGAAAAATCCAGGAAAATTAATCTTGATATCCTTATTAAATTGATAAAAATTGGGTTATGCTATACTTGAGTGACTTTTATAAGCCAAGAAATGTATTACTCTAAGAAAGAAACATGTTTTAAATTATTTTTGGCAATTATTAAAATTCTCAAAGAAAACAAAATCTAACTCTATATGAGAAAAAAGGAGATAGTATTAATCTTTTACATTCCTTTTGATGACAAAGTATGTATACATTTGGGCCTGTACAAATAAAAAGATTTTCTTTCTCTCCTGCCAAGCAAACATTACTTGATCAAAATAAATCTATAAATTTAGATAAACTATGACATTTTTTCTAATTTAAACCAAGAAGTTTGAACACAAACTAAAATAAAGGTTTAATAAAATTAAAGATAAAAAGCAATCAAGTTTTTGTTGGAATGTTGAAAAATCCACTCGAACAGCAAAGAATAAACTCAATCCATTTAAAAGTTGGTAAGTTTGAAATGTATTTCAATACAGATCAAAATCTTTAATTTTCAAACTCCAATGCAATAAAAAGAAAACATGTTTACAAGGTTAAAAAATATTTTGAGGAAAAGGATAAATTCAATAGTTTTCTTTTTAAAAATAAATAACCATTTAAACACAAGTTCAAGGAATAAAAAAAGGCAAGATTAATCCCAATACACTATATTTTAATTATTTGATCTGATATTTGATCAATCTGATCTGTCTTTGTGTTAGCTATTGAAAATATCAATGTAAGATTTTTTTAAGTGATTCATAATCATACAATGCAGTACAATTTAATTTATTAAAAGAAAGTTCCCTAGAAAGACATATTCTATATCAAATCAATATTTAATTAGTTGATCTAAAACTTCGCCTTGTTTTGATAAATTACACAAAATAAATAAAATAAAAAGTCAAATTATTTCTACCAAATAATTTTTTATCAAAATTTTTTCCACTACTAATTACAAGCTAAATGATGAGCAACATAGAGCTAAATATTGACAAAAATGTAAATAGTAAAGGATACGTGCAACAGTAAAAATCCTTAATTTGCAGTTCTTCCAACTCTTGTGTTGTTTCAGCAGAAAAGGTAATAACATCAATAAACCACCATCATCTAATATTTCATTAAAGAAATTACACACATTGAAATGAATTGAAAATTTGTACAGTAATTTGTTAAATGCATAACAATGAATATATCATGCTTGCAAAGATAATGAAAATTAGTAAATAGATTAGTGGTAATCCAAAACAAAATAAAACACTGAATGACAACAAGTGAATGAACTAAAACAATAAATGAATTAATAAACAACATCTTCTGAAGAAATATTAAAAAAATAAAATTTTGAGGAATAATTTGAAGATGCCTGTCTTAAAACTAAAAATATCAGGACATTTGAATCACTAATTTGATGCTGTAGCTCATTTTACTTATTAATCAAGCCGAAAAGTATTTATCTTATTTATTTATTTATTTGTAATATTCTAAATAAAACAGCTTGTTTAAACATCCATTATTTAAGTTAATTGCATTCAACAATTTTAAAAATATTGCTTCAGTCTTAAATTTTTGGAACAATATAATTTTTCCAAACAAAATAAAAACTTTTTAGGCAGACATTTTTTTTAATCAACTTTTCAGTTCAAGTCATGATTAAATTATTAGCTTACAATTAATTATAAAAATGCAACTTAGACAATAGGGTTTAATTTGTAAAAATAATATTTTTTGCTTAATGATAAACAAGCATGCTGATTTAAGTTTTATAATAAAATTCTGATCACTAAAATAATGGCACTTTATGCTGACTGGTATTCTTTAGTATTTCATATTCATCATCTTAAACAAGTGTACCAATAACAAAAAATTAAACAAAGCTCCATTTTATTTCTACCCTTGTGCTGTCAGAGAAATCTTACCAATAACAGTTTTTTATTTATTTTAATTTCAAACTTAACCATCGCAATTTCCATAAGAAATAAATGGAAATTAGCTTTCATAAATCTCAACCTCCAAAGAATAAACATATGATTATGGTACCAAATGTCTTTCATGAATTTTACATCACAATGAACCTCCGCACAGAGGTTTCTGTACAATGATCACAGATTGCTAGCATAAATTTTGTAAGGTCAACTTTTTCCAATTTTTCATCTCTTGTTAGCAATAATTTTAATTGATCATTTTTAAACATTTCCCTCAATCATTCAGTCATTGCAAACAGTTTCTAAGCATTCATATAAATCAAAACAAATTTCTATTTACATTTTTAAACATTCATACAGAAGTCAATCTAAGCTTTGACGGTACATTTCAGTCTCCTATAAATTTATAAACCTTTCAAGGGTGGTCTGCAGGAATCTTGTTCCAACTTACACTATGAGCTGTGATTCTTGATTTATTTATGATTTATTTATTTGATTTATGATTCTTGATTTTGGTAGAAGTCAATCTAAGTTTTGACAGTTCAATTCAGTCTCCTATAGATAAGCTAAACTTTTCATGGGTGGTCTGCAGGAATCTTGATCTAACTTACACTATGAGCTGTAATTCCTGATGAGCTATGATTCATCATAGAAGCAATGAATAATCAAAATATGAGAGATAATCGCAAACAAAAATAACATTGAAGGATAAAATCAAAGTTATCAAAAAATCAGTTATTGAGCTATCGGGGGATAGTACAAAATTAATAAACACATGAAAATCAGCTGTGATATACAGTTGTGTGGAAATTAATGTATAAAACGGTTTTTTATTGTTTGATACTATTTGTGATTGTTTTATACATTTTTGAGTAACCAATTCATTTATAATTCCAAATAGCGACAACCTCTTAAACATCCGTTGCATAGTCATAGTTCCACAAGGGACTGTTGTTAGGTTTTATTGTATACCACTTACACAGGGTGCATAGCCAAATTATTCAACAAAAAATAAGCACTTTTCAAGCACTCTAATAATATTTTTAAGCACTTTTAAAAGAATATCATAATTAGACAGAGTAGGAAAGTTTTTGACAATTGACGGTTTTATCTGGTTTTAACAGTCATGTCAAAAAAAACATTTCTTTTAGCATTGTTTTCGACAATTGTCAAAATGTTTGAATCATGTACATCGAATGGCGTTTTCATAAGCTACAGTCTGAGGATGCGCCAAAATAGATTTGGGGTTGAATTAATTGTGAAAACGTTGAATAGAACAATGTGAACAGTGTCTTTCTGCATAATTCGTAGCAAAAATCCACACGGTAAAGGAAAAATCTCAATTTAGAAAGGGGAAAATTAAGCACTTTTTAAAAACACCCAATGAAAAAAACATCTTTAAGGGCTTTTAAACAGCGAAAATCGAAAATAAGCACCTTTAAGCACTTTTTTAAAAACGTTACACACCCTGTTAAAGATTTCCTTAAGAAACAAAATCTCTTAAAAATTTGTAATTTAAAAATCTAAAATAACTTTAAAATTGCATAATTTATCAAATGATTTTAATTCAAATTAGCGTTCTTTTATTTATTTTAATATGTTTGCTGTCAACCCAGAAAATCACTCTATTGGTTATCCCATGCTAATGCTCAGCCTGTGCATTAAAGCTTTCAATGAAATGAAAATATGAAACATTGAGAGATTATTCCAAAATTTGAAGGAAGTGCAAAATTTAAAAAATAATTTTAAATTATTTCTTACGCAACATATGTATGAAAATTGTCTATTCTTTACACAACAACCTTAAGCACACTTTTACTAAAAATAAACTTTCAAAATGTGGTATTAAAAGGATACGGACTATCCACCAGACATCTATATTTCCTGAAACTTTTTCAGAATTGCTGGGAAACAAATTTATTCCTTTAGGTACCAACAAAGCATTTTTACTAGCAGAGACAGATCTTATGATATCTAAAAAGAAAATAATAATTTGATGCAGAGAAAACTGTTTCATTCTTAACTATAATAGAAAATGATAAAATTTTAAAACTTGCTCAACTGTTTAACAGTAACCATTGTTGAACATTAATTATTTTTAGTATAACTGAAATTCAAACACAAAGGGAGAAAAAAAAAGAAGAATGTTTTTATCTTAAAACTAGCTGAATACCCGTTCTTCACATGGGGTGAATATAAGAAAAGAATCAATAAGTCAGTACTGAGAAACGCAACACAATTATGCTCACAACTGAAAGGCATGTACCGACGCAATTAAAGAGCTTAACTGAAAAACAAGGTGAATGATAGTTTTAAAAGAATTAATGAATTAAATGAAATAACATAAAGAAAGTGGTTACATCAATATGGGTATGTTTAATGTAACAGAACTGCTTTTGCTTTCACTTTTATCTCAACATAACTAATTCATATTAGTTTTTAGTATGCTTGCATGATTTTTATTTCAATTAGGCAGTGGTAAATAAAATAAAGTAAAGAAATGTTAGTCCCACATTCTAAGAAATTCCATTTTGTTTATCGCTCATCCCGTTCGAACAGGATGGAAAATTAGACAAAGATAGCAAATGAACTTACTCAAAAATACCCTCCATTGTTTTTCATCTGCACTTTGTCTCCAACCATATGGCCAACCAAGTATAATAGTATTGTGTTTTAGTCCACCAAGCCCAGCAGTCTGAATACTAAAATTTTAAAAAAAAGAATTACATTTTATTAAGATGCTCTTGATATATCTCATCAAAGAAAAAAAAATATTTGTCATCTAATCAATATTTAATTTTTAGGGATAAAATTTATTAAGCTCCAGAAGATAAAAAAAAATAAGTAGAACATTCTAATAACAGAAATTCTGTTTTGTTAACTTCTTAAGAAACTTACCTCAGGAAAATATTAAAAAATTGCAAAATGAAAAATAAATAGTAAATAAAAACAAATTAGAGATTTAGAGTGTTTTTAGAAATCGATGGGAATTTTTTCTCATTCATGTCCTGTTTTGGTTAACTAATACAAAATAATTTTAAGAAATCTTAGCAATCTCTCAAATACTTTTCACAAGAGTTACTTGAGAAAAAAAACAACCTTATATTCATGGATAGATTGATACAAATTAATATATCAATACAAAAATTTCCAACCCTCAAAAAATAGATAAATTATGATTAAACCATGGATTGGAACACTCAACCTAATGCTAAGGCCAGGAAAAAATTTTTGGGCATTTCAGTCCATATAGCTTCTTAGCAAAATCATCTCTAAAACTTTAAGAAATTTGAGACAACTTACAATTATATTTTGCTAATTCTAAAATCTTCTCAAAAACATTGTAAAATCAATTTCTGTATCTATACAGAACTATAATTTAATATATATTAAGAATTACATTTTTTTAAAATTAAAACAAATAAAATTATCTATTGTGAGGTTATGATTTCATAAAAGACATCTTTATGCTTTTGATATACACAGTCCAGATTCCAGATTGGGTTCAAATCCGGTGAGTTTGCTGGCCAGGAGAGTACGGTAAATTCATCCTGGTGCTCTTCGAACCACGCACGTGCACTGCGAGCTGTATGACACCTCGCATTGTCCTGGTGGTAGATGCCATCATTCTGAAGAAAAATCATTTGCATGTAGGTGTGGACATGGTCCGCAAGGACAGATATGTACTTATACTGATCCATCGTGCCTTCCACAATGATGAGTGCACCCAGTGAATGGCAGGAAAACATTCCCCAAACCATAACGCTCCCTCTTCCAGCCTGCAGCCTTCCGGCAATTGTTGCAGGGTGTTTGCTTTCAGACGTTTTACGCCGTATACGCCAGCGCCCATCTGTCCCATGGAGCATAAAATGTGATTCATCGGAAAAAGCCACCTGTTGCCACTCTGTGGACGTCTAGTTGCGATACTGGCGTGCAAATTCCAACCTTTGTCACCGATGAACAGCAGTCAGCATAGGTGCATTAACCAGGCACCTGCTGCGGAGGCCCATGCGCAGCAACGTTCGCTGAACAGTTGTTGAGGATACACTTTTGGTAGCCCCTTGGTTCATCTGGACGGTCAGTTGCTCAACAGTTGCACGTCTATTCGTCTGAACGCATTTCCGCAGCCTTCGTTTGCCTCTGCCATCTTTGGCCCGTGGTGCACCACATGTGCCGCGCCGTTTGTTTTGTACAGCGCCATTTTGCCATGCACGGTATACTTTTACCACGGCGGCAAGCGAACAGTTCACAAAATCAGTCGTTTCCAAAATGCTTCCACCCTTGGCCCGAAAGCCAATAATCATGCCCTTTTGGACGTCTGATAAATCGCTACTTTTCTGCATTGCGCCAGCGACTGAAATGCTTTTCGATGCCCTAGGACATCCTTTATATACACTACACTGTAATGTGCTGCCACCTGCACTCTGTGATTGGTTATTTCACGTCGACGTCGAAAGTAGGTGGTGGTCACATTAATGTGACTGGACTGTGTAATATGTAATTGAGAAACTAAAAGTGTTAGAACTAATGCATGAAATCAATTTAGAATTTTAGAAAAGAAAATATTGATAAAGGTTCTTTTTAAAAACTAAAGAAAGTTTAAACAAGATTTAATTTCATTAATCACTATATTGCAAGATTATACATTTGTATGAATTAAATAAAAATATCTTAATACAAATAGATTAGTAGTGTAATTGGGATTGTAAGAAATATTTCGTAATGCTACAAACATGCATAAATAATTTAAGTATGCATTTTTGCCAAAAATTTAAACTTACAGATGACAAATTCCTTCAGTAAGATCTTTAGCTACTAAAACATCAGCAAATCCTTTAACTTTTTCTTCATCCATAACTCTCTTCAAACTCTACATTGGAAAAAATAATATAACAATGTGGAAGAAAAAAATTGTTCATCAACTTCTACCTGTAAACCAAAATTTAAAGGCTATAACAGATAAAACTGCAGAGTGTTGTGTAGACTAATTATATAAGATGCACTACATTTGTAAGTTTAATACTGTTTATCTCAAACCAATTTATCTCAAAAACATCTATATCTCAAAATTTCTAAAATTCCCTGCATTTCCTGTCTAAAATCAATGTATTTTCCAATTTTATATTGAATTTTTTTTTCCTCTAAAACATCTGCTTCTCGTATTTCTAATAATAGACCACAAATGTCAAAACTTTCTTTATCAGTAGAACTTGCAGACAGAGATGAATTTCAATAACCCATAGGAAGTAGGGATGAACAGGTTGAAGTTGTTTCTCGGAATTTCAATCACTATCCCTGCACTTCTTTAACTAGAAAGGAATACAATGATTCTGGAAGTAAGTGAGGGATTAATTTGTAGTGACCACCAGAGATTAGCTTCTCAACATAGATAAAAAAAAAACTAAGAATAGAAATTCATTTTCACCTCAAAATTGCAACCAATGGATCAAAGGATAATTAGGAGTTTTAAAGTGAACTATAGAAGACAGTTGGTACCACAAACTTGTAAATGCCATCCATGAAAAAAGTTCTCTTCCAAAAATAAAGATGTTAGATGCTATCAGAATTACTGTTTTGCCTAGAGAAATGTGTCTCTAAAAACTATCCAAAAAGGTTTTAAAAAGCAGGTTTTAAGAATAGCTGTGAAGATGATGAACAAGAGGTTGAAGGCATCAGTAAAGAAGAAACTGTTAACACTAAAAAAATGTGGCGTCAGAATGAAATGCAATAAAATCTGGATTTAATATTAACATTAATTTTGAAGATTCTTACAAGTGGACAACTGCCCTGAAACATGCGGAACATTGACAGATGTGGAAATCATAGATAAAATAAAAGGAATATCAGATGAAGAGGAAAAATCTGAAGATCATATTGATGAACCAAAAGCGAATGCAAAAGAGGTAGAAAAAGCTCTAGAATTCTTATAAACTATTCTTGAAACCCTGGAAAATATTGGCTATGAGGGATTTTAGCTCTTTTTATCCTTAAAAGAAAAATCCAAACAAATAAGGTTACACGCGGAAAATCTACGGAAAATTTTTTTCAGTGTTAAATGTATGTTACAAAAAAATTTTATGTAAATAGATGTATGTGGTATTATTAATTTGAAGAAATGCCTATATATTTCTACTAAAAGCAATTAAAGCACTTTTAATAGAATTTCTTAATTAAATGAAATTTTTTTAAAGTACCTGTATAACTCGAAACTTCTTTATCTCAAATTTTTAGCCTTTCTCCTGAGATTCGAGATAAACAGGCTCGACAGTATTAAAAATTTTAAATACCAAAGCTATGTGAATATTACCTAAGCAAAAAATAGCAGCAGAATAACATTTACTTCCAATTAAAAAGAAATTATTTCATAATATAATATAAATTATATAAGTTAACCATGAACAAAAGAAATTTATATCTATTAAGGGCTGATAGCACAAATATTCCTAAAAAAATTTGTCTTACAGCATTATATAAATCATTACAAAACTCAGTTCCGATTAATGCTTAAAATTCGGTATTTTCATACTTAATTATGAATAATAATGAATTATGAGATGTTTTACTGCAATACATAAATATTACTAGCATTCTAAATTCAAAAGAATGAGGTTAGAAAGATACCTATCAGAATAAAAAAAAAATAATAAGTTTGGAAATTTAACCTTTAATGTGCTACAGTGCCTTTTACAGATATATTCATCAATAATTGCAAATATGTTGCCAACATATGCACAATCATACTATAAATCAAATATCGAGTCAAAAATGATTTTCAAAATGTAAAAAATTAAAAAATAACTTGCCAGTTTTGCAGCTTGAGCTTCACTATACATTTTTTCATAATTACCTTCCAAAAGGGAGCATACAATAGTAAGACCTTTACCTATGGAAATAAAATATACAAATATGAGAAGAGACAATTATATTATGATTTAAGTTTTGAATTTGCAACTTTTAAAAAACATTTAAAAATTTAAATGATAAAAAAAATTATTTTAGACAATAAGTTTTCATGAAGATTCAATTCACAAAAAATGTGAAAGTGCCCCCTCAATGAAATATATATAGAATGATATCAGTATCAATTTTTGATCTTGGTACTTTAAAAAAAAAAATCAATGTTTCATGACTGACTATAAATACAAAAATATGTAGGAGGGGAGTAAACCAGTCATTCAATGAGCATTTCATCAATGCATCATGCATTCAATGTTCAATGCATTTTTATGAGTCATTCAGTGCATTTTCAAATTCAGTGCATTTTTTAATTGAACTTTCATTATCAAATGACTTTCTCTCTAAGAAAATATTGTTTAGAAACTAAAGTCTCTTCTGAAGAATGAGAAAAAATTTCAGATGCTTTAGTTTTTATTTTATTTTCATAGAACTCTACATATTCTATAATACTAAACCCTATAATAAAATATTACAACAAAATTTTAAATGGAAAAGAATTATAATAAACATACCTGCTTTAAGTTGGGAAGCGAAAGAAAACAATCTGGGATATTTAGGATTTAACTCTTCATCCAATTTGCAGAGAACGAGAACCTGTGGTCGCCAATTTTTGGTATGTGGAGGTCCTTCTTCCAATCTCAGCAGACTATAACGTGCAGCGGATAAAGCCAAACCCCTTATGCCATCACCCCATTCTTTTTCAGCTCTAAATACATATAAAATTGTGGTACATTTAAATTAAATTAAATTTATGGTGCACAACACATTGAAAATTCATAAATAAAAAGCACTTTTTAATAGTTATAATTGTGGTTATCCTTTTCAATAACTGTGGTTATCCCTTTCAAACAATATTAATTTAAAAATAGTAAATTAGTTAGTAAAATAATTTGGTAAAAATGCAAGTTTCCAAGCTAAAACTAGCTGAAAAAATTTGTTTTTTTGATATGAAGGATTTGGCCATCAGAACATAATAACATTAATGGTCACCTTTTTTGCAAATCTAGGAAAAGAAAACTCATTCATTGTAAGGTAAAGGGAACTCATTCATTTCATGTACATTATCTACTTTAAAATAAAAAAAACAAGCATATTTTAACAGGTTTCTTTAAATAAAAATTTTACACACCTTGATATACCATAAAATATTGTCATTTCTTTAAGTTTCCAGGTTTGCATAAAATATTGAAGGAAAAAAAAAAGAATATTGAAAGGTGAAATATAATTGAAACATTCAGCTGGACAATATTGAAGATTGAAATATGCTACTAAAATGTTTTAGAATACTTTTTCTTCAAACATAAATCTTTAAATTTAAAATAAAAAAAATGGAATCTATTTTTATTTAAAAATACATAAGCATGAGTAACGTACCCACAATATTCAATGTATTTGTACACACAACCAGCTATAGCAATAGCACACAATGCATAATACCAACTGCTCAAAAACATCACAACCAGACATAAGATTGATCCAGCCATTGCTAATGACCTAAAACAGCCAAACTAATATTTCACAATATGAATAATAAATTTTATTAAAAATGTTTATGAAATAAAATTAAAAAAAAAAACAAATTTATCCAAGAATATGAATATATTTAATAAACTGCACTGCTTCCAAAATTCAGTACAATTTTAAACAGAATACCGGAACAATCAGGATAAAGGCGTAAAACATTTTGAAAGTTGTCGAATATATACATCAAAAATTTGATTCCTCCAGTGAAGTGAAATGTTATTAGGGTTTTATGAAAGGTCAGGTCAAATTTTATCCCATACTTATCTATGTATCAATCATTTTGACAAATTATACACTGGATCATTATCATTCAGATATCCATATTGGGCCTGAATCACAACTTTAAAAGCAATTTTTAGCTTTTCCTTATTTTATTTCCATAATTAACTGCTAAATAAACAAAAATTAATAATTATACAAAATAAAAAAATAAAGAAATCCAGAGTAATGAATATAAAATAAAACAATCTTCTTAAAATATTATATCATTTCATTGAAAATACAGTACAGAACCCGTTATCCGGAAATCAGAAAACCGGAAAACCAAAAAACCAGAACGAAATTCGATTAGTTTCGCCGCCATTTTAAAAAAAAAAAAAAACATTTTCCTCATAAGATTTTAGGATTTTTCGTTCTTTTCTGAAAGATCCTTACCATCATTTTGGAAATAATCATTAATGTATTACTTCATCGTTTTTTCTTCTTTTTAAGATTATTTAAGAAAAAAAAAAATTTCGTTGGGTTTAACTATAAAAAAACTGCTTTTTGTTGCGATTCAGAAAACCGGAAAAATCAGTTATCCGGAATATCGATGGTCCCGATTGTTCCGGATAATCGGTTCCCTACTGTACTATTAAATACAGGGATGAGATTAGTCAAAACGCAAAAAAGCTGAATTTCCACAATAGTAAATTTTACGCAAACGCAACCCTTTAATAACAAATTCCACAGTTTAAGGTAATAAATGATGTGTTGACATACAATTGTGTACTAATCTATTATTATAAAAACGATTACATTGATACTTAACATTTAGTGGAAAAAAAATTTCCAATTGAAAAAATAAAGCTAAAAATTATATTTTTCCTCAGTTTACATAAGAGACAATTATTACTTGAAAAACTACCTGGTTAAACAAATTAAAATTACTGAGAATATACATTAATATTTCATTTCTTTTAATAAATAATGTTATGTGATTTATAACAAATATATAAGTAATATTACTTCTTAAATTATATTGGAAAAAAAAACTTTAACAATGGACCGAATCATTATGTTCATATTATAGTCTAATCTAACTACAGTCCTCTGAAACATATCAATAACAGTGAAGTAGAAATATATAGTAACTCCTTAACATACAAAAATTGCTATTTTAGTTTGAAAAATTACATGACAATCAGCAACTGTTTAGATAATTGTTTTTTATTTGATAAGAATTTTGCATTTTATAGCATAAATAACAGCAATTATAAATAAAATTTTGATGATGAGTTAATTAACTCTTTTTCCCCCCAAAATTTTTTTTAATTAAATCCCTTTTTAAGTGATTGCTTTTGTTTGCTATATCTTTTATGTTTGCTATATTTAGTCGTTAGTCCATCTTCAAACATCTTGTGACAAATCCTATTTTTTCTTCTTTGCAAGCACAGAATGTAAGTTTTGAATATATTCCCTTCCAGTTTCTCTGATGTTGTAACACTTACATATACTAATAATCGTCGTTAGAAAAACAGTCACCTTTATAGTAACTAATTTAAAAAAAAATTTACTTCTTACAAGAATCGCGATAGTTGATCTTAAAATTGCGTGAATATGAATAACAATTATGGATTTTGAAATCACATGAATATGAAACTAGATATACGATTTTGAAAATGAGAAAATACAAACTGGGATATAGAATTTTTAAAACGCGTAAATACAAATCACGATTCATAATTTTTAGATCGCGTAAATACGAATCATGATGCGTAATTTTTAGATTGCATAAATAAGAATTATGATGCATAACTTTTAGAATGCGTGAATGCGAATCCCAATGCCTTATTTTAAAATCACGTATAAATACGAAGATCAATGTTTGATATTATAAACCGCATTAGCAAATCAACACACTGAATTTTAAACTTGCGTGAATACGAATCGCTACATAGGTTTTTAAAAAGACGTAAATACGAATCACAATATCGGAATTCCAAATCTCGTAAATAAGAAACGCAACGTACAAAATTCAAATCATGTGAATAAGAATCGCAACAAGCAAATATGAAAAGCTATGTTTGATATTAAAATCATGTGAATAAGAATCGAGATATTAGCAGATTCCAGGCTTGGGACCTCTAAAAGGCTTGTCAGAAGCAGCGTCGTTTGAACTACGAAAATCGGATCTATCTGGAGGGCGGGTAAAAAATTCGGAAAATCTTATCTGCTGCGTGTAAAAGGGGAGAAAATAGGTAAAATAAGTAAAAATGAGAAAGGATTGGTAGCTATGTAGTTTGAATTTTCTGTTTCTCTTTGAAAATCGGTGAATTTTCTGAAAAAGCAGATAACTTGTTAAAAAAAATGAAATTTTTAGAAAATCTGAATTCTTGATACAAAAGCTGAAATTTAAGAGATAAAAGTGAAAAAAGCGGAAATCCGCTAAAAAGGGGAAAAATCTCATCCCTGATAAAAGTATGAAGGACAGCTGCATTAACCACTAGTGTGATGTTTGAAAAATTTCTGTGAAATATAGTCTAGAACAGGAGTGCCAAACTCAAAAGCTAACTTGGGCCAAATGAACAATGCTTAAATTTAGGTGGGCCGCAAAAAAAATCAATGTTCATAAAAACAAATATTTTTATTTTGAATAGTACATTGTAATAAACATATATGGACCGCGCACCACCGCTAAACTGTTCCTGTACCCCNCAATGATAATATTTGAAACGAGGCCGCCAATTGGGTGTGTGTAGTAGACTTTGCAAGGCACAAGCAAGATTCACAAACATATAGCACATCAGAAAAAACCTGAATTAAAAAATTACGATATTTAAATATAACCTAAGACATTTTAGTAAAATATGGAAGAAAAATTGCAGAATATTTACATAGTTAAAATTGGAGCAATGTGATCAAGATTTCCAATTAAAATCCCAATTTCAGTAATGAAGAGTGTCAAAAATAATGCTCTTGTGGGCTCATTTCTTGAAGAACTATAAGCAAATCCATTAAGGAAAGGTATAATTTGATCCTTTGCAATAGCTTGCAATAAACGGGGGGCACCTAGAATAAAAAATAAATAACTAGAAAGCTAAAATAAGTTTCAAAGAATCATGTGTCCAAATAATAAAATGTGATAAATTCGAACAATAAAAAGAATTTAATATAAGAGAAAAAGTTTTAAATGCTATTTTAAAGAAATAAATGGATCAAAATTAATTTTATCTCTATAAAAGTATATATAAATTTATTTTATGAAATATATTTATATATATTCATTTATAAATAAAGAAGTCAAATTGGGCTTGTTAAATCATGCCAAATAATGAAAAAATAATAATAAATAAATAAACTATTGTGATGTAAACAAATAAAAACATCATTAAGAGTTGAAGGATAAGATAAGCATAAAAAGTTTAAAATTTAACTCTGTGAAAATTAAAAAATTCACATGGTTTCTAGGATGCATTTTAGCACCTAAAAAACTTATAAAAGTAGGGGGGATATGGGAATCACAAAAAATATGCAATGCTCGTATCATGATTTCCTACAATAGAAATAAAACTAATCAATAAACATTGAATAGAATCATTCATTGTCATGATTCTTTTTTAAATTCATTTCAATAGAACATTGAAAACTGATCCAAGAAAAAAAAAGGCTATTGAAAAAAAGCTAGATACCTTATTAAATACAGATAAATCAATTTACATGTTTATAAAAAAAATCTAAAATCACTAGTTAATATTTAAAAAAAAAGCAAACCATGCAAATTTTTGTAATCTTTTATAGAAAGAATATTAGATAGTAACAACAAATATTTTTCTTAATCTTTATACATCATAAAATAATCTTTATACATCATTTATTTATTATTATTAATTTTGATTTATTTTAAGTATAAATAAGCATAAGTATTAAGAAGTATAAGCATTAAGTAATATAAGTATTTGGTATAAGTATTATGTAGTATATGTTTTAAGTAGTATAAGCAAGGTTCTAATTTAGATTCTAAGAGCTAATTATTAAAAATTAATTTTTCTTAACAGTTTAAAATTCACACATAATACAATTATAACAAGAACATGCTAAAGTATCAAACTAAACTAATAACTTTAAACTAACAATTTTATTAAATCTTAAAATATAAGTGAAGAAATGTTACCAGTTAACGATTGTAGACCAGCTCCAACTGTTGACAAAAATGAACCAAGAATGACAACCCAAGGATGAGGCCATGCTAAATCAGCAACAGCCATCCCACCTCCAACACTATCACCAAATCTAAGATAATAAAACAATTATTGAACTTCTGAAATATTAAAACTTTTTATGAAACAAAACACTGAAAATTTTAATAATTAATAAAAAAAATATTTGAGTCCATTAAAACTGGAAATATTTATTAAATAAATGCTTCTTAGAGTAACTTTGGTACAGCTTGGAAAAACACAGTAAAACAAAAATAATAAAGCAAAGAAAGAGCTTAAAAATACTCATTGGTTTATTTTTACACCTTATTTTTTCAGATTAAAAAATAAAAAAGTTAAAAGCTTCAAGAGGTTAAGAATTTTAACACCATTTCTACTAAAAAAAATTTTTTTTAGTTTTTTGCCTGTATGAAATTATGCAATCAATTATTTTTTTTAATTACGGCTAGTTTAATTTTTAATAAATAGAATTTAGATATAATCAAAAAATTAGAAAGAGATAGTGATAAAAATCTAGACTATTTTTACAAAGTTAAACTCGTTTTCATTATGTAATAAAAAATTCATTTTTAGCTTATCAGGAACATATTAACCTCATGGAAGAGAGATTAATATCATCAGAAGGAAAAAAATTGGGGGAGGGGAACAAGACATTTTACAGTTTTATTGAAGCCTTGTAATCTGTTTCAGCTGACAAAAATAAATAAATTTTTGAAAAAATCATGGACGTAATTCTTTTAACCGTTTAGAATTAACATTTATATACATATATAATTAAGTAACAAGTTAAAATTTGCATACATCTCTCAATATTGAACAAGTGATAAAATCAATCAATGGCAATGTTTATACTAGCTTTAGTCACTGAAAATTTTTTCACTTAGAGGTGTTTCAAGAAAGCACTAAATTAAAGTTAGAAAACTATTCAATTAAATGAAGAAAATTTTGAATATAAAGAAAAGATTAAAATTTCGTAGTAATCTTTTAAACAACAGCACATAGTAAAAATTTAAATTATACTCTTTCAACTAAAATCTATCACTTTTATAAATAAAATATTCATTAACAAATGAAAAATAAATTAAATAGCAATATCTAACATAACTATTATAATTTATGCTTATATTGTAAGAACTAAAAGAAATACAACACTATCATTACTTACTTATCTCTCATAAATAGATTATTAAATGTTGCTCCAAATAAAAGAACCCCTGACAAATCTAATCATTGATAAGAAAAGAGTTTTTTTTATACAAACACTTAGCATGAAAAATAATGGAGATGTTAAACAGGCTCATCGGTCAAAATTGAAACTTGAAAGTTTCAAAAAACAAACTCAAAAGTGAAAAAAAAAAAATTTAGGAGAGTTCAGAAATAGAATTTTTATCGCTAGTTAGCAATTACCTATTAAACTAGTTGAGTACATTATGACTTTTAAGTAAAACTATTTACTTTTAACTGTATTTTTAACAAAATCATTAAAATTATTAATTTTTGTACACAATTGATAAAGATGCAAAGGGAATTTGTTAGGGAACGCCTAGATAAAATATTTTAAATGCTTAAATTCATAAATAAAACTAAACTGAAAACTAAACTCAGCGGCGCGACAGCCCTGGAGGGCCACGGCCTACTGTGCCAATCTCAGTTTTCTTGACCATGGGCTCTGGGGTGCAGAAGCAGATGTTCCGGTCAGGTGGTCAGCAAAATGCGGAACCCCCAGTGTTTAGTTCCCAAGCATGCTTGGTACTCATTTATCGACCCACTGAAGAATTGAAAGGCTGAATTCGTAAATAGTCCTTGTAATTAATTATTAATTTTGGATGGATACGATAATCAAAGACATTTATTAAAAAGTATTCTTCAGAATTTGAAGACATAATTCATAAAATGTTTTATTAAAATGGCAATTAAGAGTGACACTTCTCAGCAACACTCTCACAGCAAGATATTTCTTTCGAAAGTAAGAAAGATCTCCAGAATTATATAAGGTGATGTTGCTTTGCAAAGCTACATTGCAATTATTATTTATATGATTTAGTAATCATGCATAATCAATATCAGTACTAACAATGAGTGGTAAGTTACAATAAACTCACAAATCTTTCGCATCATGGAAAATACAATGAAAGCATTCAATTGCATAACACATTTAAAACTTAGTGCATTTCATTATTATAATTAATGCTACAGATTTTTTAAATAAATTTTCTATATTCTATGTGTGTATGTTTATATGCAAGCTATGAGGGTATTAAGTGTCGAAATTATAGGGAGATTACTATATACATAATCACGTATTAAAATGAAGTTAAAGGATACAGATAATAGATGTCGTCAGTTGAGCAGCAATAGTACCAGTAGGAATAGATTTAGAAGCATCAGACAAATCACCTGATCTATTTGAACCAGCTAAAATACCTGAATAAAAAGATTTTAACATAAAATATTTAACATTATATTTTTAACAAATCTTTAAAAAAACATTTGAAATTCATTCATTAAATAAATGCTTGTAATATATAGATTTAAATATAAATAGATAGAATCAGATATGCTTACCAGTGCAAGAAGGAAAAAAGATAGCAATCAAAACAGTAAATGAGGTAGTTAAATCTACTAAGATTTGATTGTATGTTTTTTGGCCATAAGAGTTGGCATCTTCACGATTTACAGCTTCAGAGATATAATCCCCCTGTTGACGAAATCTGCTTGGAACATTAGCTATAAAAAAAATTAAAATTATTACATATTGATTAAAGCAATAAAATATGAAATTATAATGTGTTCAAAAAATTGCACAAAAAATTAGAAAAAAAAAGTTAAACAAAAAAATAAAGGAAAATTTTATTAACTACTTTAATTTGATAGTACATTAGAAAGTTAAAAGAAAGAATTTATTTTTCAGGACACCTTGTTTCAAATAACAAATTTAAGCAACCACCAATTCTCCAGAATCTTGCAATAGCATTAATTAAACATAAAAAAAATTTAATAAATTTTTTCTCTTTAAATTGAATCATTGAATAAACATCACAGTTTGAATGTTTTAAAATGATTAAATTTACTAGATTTTAGAAAACACGTTTGTGTATTTAAATTTAAACAGATAATTATTGACTCATTTATGACAGAAATAAAATTATTCACTGCTTTATTACTATAGCAACATAAGATCAAAAATACACTAAATTTATAATAATAAATTACATACTTAAAAGTGGGATACTTTGTAAATATTACCAAAAAAAGAAAAAACAAGTTTTGATTAGTTAAAATACATTATGACAGCACAAATGAATGCAAGGCTTGCACTTTCTATAATCAGCTTATCTTTGTATTGGTTTTAAAAAATAAGCATCCCTTTTATTAGTTTCTTAATATGTGTCATAATGCTTGAATAAATTTACTAAGCTTGTACAAAAGATTTAAAACTATTTTATTCTTTAAAAATTAAATTTTTGCTTTAACTTTTTACTCCTTAAAAGCATGATAAATTAATTATCTAATCTCTTTTTTAATTAAATGTCTTTTATTTTTAAAAAGTTAAGAGTATATAAAAATCATGATACATATCATTGATTTAATCATTCAACTTAATGGCTCATTTGAAAATCCGTTTAAAAAAACAAAAATAATAATAAATAGGCTACACATTCAACTTTTATACTCAAATAAGATTATCCAGACTTCAATAAGTAAAAACATACATGAATATAGGCAAAAAAAATCTAAAATCTAATCAAAAACATATTTAACTTACAGGGAAATACATTGCTAGCCAATCCTGGGATAGCTAACTTTGAATGAACTTCATGGGATTCAAAATAAGAGTCACAAGTATATAAACTTTCATTAGCTTCCGTTTTATTAATTTCAGAGCAATAAAGATAGAACAAAGATACCGAATTATTTTGATCTTTAGAGCAAGTGTAGTTTCCTTTACTTAGAAGTCGATCACCAAGAACACAAACTCTGAAAAACAATACAAAAAAATTGAGAACAAAATGTGTAAATAATAAAATAATCACAATTAAGCATAAATGCATGTCAGCATTAAAAATGTAAGATAAAAAAAAATTTTTTAAGTGTTTTACAAGCAGATTTCAAAATATCAAGTAAGACAACATCAGTTTTGTCTTAACCTTAATCAGTTTTCCCAAAAAAAAATTCTGACCTTGAAACATCCCAACTAGGACTCCTATACGATTCTATGAAGTCTATTGTTAGGAAAGCCATAGGGACTGATATATACCTTATAACCATCGTTGAACAGCTAACCCAATTTCGAGTTTACGCCTATGCATGTTCAATTCCGTAGCCTTGCAATTTTAAACCGAATCCAGAAGACAAGGAAACTCATAGATCAAGTAATGGGGAAAATTTGTCTTTGTGGAGGACTAATTGCTAAAACTAACCTGCATTTGAGTTGCATGGTTACATACAAAACCTCTCACATTTGGCCTGACAGTAAGGAGACTTTAAACGATAATCCGCCTACTAACAAAGATTTTTACGTCAGCACTGCAATCAGTGCGAGCCGGGTGTGGAATTCATTTTGACCAGCCTTCGCTGTGATTTGAAATCCTGTCACCTCATTGGGAGAAAAGAGCTCTAAACCTTGAGATATTCCTATATATGAGTTCTTGTGCTTGCTCAAGAACTCCTAACAACAAGAACTCAGGGTTCAAACAGATTTGTGAAGTGCCTGAACAGCCTAGTAAAAACTCTTTTGCAACAGTTTGTCTTATTTGGCCGTGCCTGCTTTCAAAAGCTAATCCAATGTGTTAATATGACTGTGGACTCTTATTTGCCTAGTATGTAACCTAGCTGATATCTTAAGGAAAATATACACCTACCACATTTAGATATATGCCCAAGCCTTTTCTTGTGCTTCGATTTAAAGCCCTACTGGGTGGCTATAATGCATTGCATTCATTGAAATCCGGTCAATAGATGCAAATATCAACTAGTGTTTTTGCAAAGTTTCATAAAGGATATTATTTTGTCTTGTTTTCCCCCCATTTTAAATAAAACTAAGTTTACAAAATATAATAATTGCAGACTTATTCAAAACATTAAATGCCACTAAAATATAATTAAAACTTACACTTATAAATTATACTTACTTCATTCCATCTTTTCCGTGTAAGTTTGTAAAAACTCCAACATAAACAGAAAGCAGTGAAATGATAACACATAAAAGTGCTATTGGGGCAAATTTGCTGACAAACTTTACGCCGATGAAAACAATTGTACCAACAATCAACAACAGAATAGTACCATAGGTACGAAAATTATTGTACATGACTTCAGGATCAGTACGAAAATCTCCATACAAGGAGAGACTGGGAGCCATATAATTCTGAAAAACAATAAAAAAAATTTAAGTTATTATGATTTTAAGTAATCATATCCTTCAAATTAAAAATATCCAGATTATTATAGAATAAAAATAAATTCCAAGAAATTTTAATACAAAATCTATGCAAATTTCAAAAAAACTCAGAAGATGATTAAATAAAAATGTATGAAAATACAAAAATGACTTTTATAAAATTCTCTACCCTGATTTCATTCAAGTTTTGTATTTCGTTATTTAAAATTAAGAAGTTTAAAATTTTGCAAAAATTCATGTTACTTAAAATTCCTAATCGTTTTGACTATTATTAAATAAAGTTAGCATAGATAACAAATAGTTATTCAATATATTTTACTATTTAGAAAGGCTTAAGAAGCTTTTAGTTTCATAACTGTGAGCAAGAAATTTTCGATTTGTTTAAAAAATCCTGAAGATATGGGTAAGTACACAANTTATAAAGTTATAATTAGTTATTAAATAGTTAAATAGTTATAATAGTATAAAGTTAGCATAGATAACAAATAGTTATTCAATATATTTTACTATTTAGAAAGACTTAAGAAACTTTTAGTTTCATAACCGTGCGCAAGAAGTTTTCGATTTGTTTAAAAAATCCTGAAGATATGGGTAAGTACACAATAAATGAAATTAACAATAAAAGGTCCAAACTTTCGACAGATTTCTTGACCAAAATATAAAGGACATACATTCTAAGTGGCCTACTGCTCATATTTTGGGGTCAAGAATCAAAAACTATAAAAAAGAAAAGTGTGTTTATTCTAAGAAAAGAATACTTCTATATCAGATTCTTATTCAAAATTAATCATGACAATTAGTTAATTAGCATATTTGAAGTCAACTCTTTGAACTCTTAAGATTGACACCTAGTCTGATTACTAGAACAAAACAGGAAAGTCTGATTACTAAAACGAAAGTGATATCTTTTTCAATGTCATCTTTTTTTTGTAGTTCATGGGACATTTTTACTTACCTAAAAAATCTATGTGATTCTAAAGATACAAAATAAAATGCATGTATACAATTCTTAAAATACTAAATATTTGTTCAATCAAAACAAAATAAAATATTGAGACTAAATTTCTTTATAGTGAGAAGTAAAATTACAGTTTTGAGCACCAAAAAAATTTACCAGAAAAATCTCTACAGCTCCAATAATATACATAGCTGCAGCAATAGATGTAGCTAAATAAAACAATATTCCAACAGCACCACCAAACTCAGGACCCAAAGAACGAGAAATCATGAAATAAGAACCACCAGCTAAAAAGATTATTTTGATTTAAATTATAATAAGAAATATCTTTAAAAAAATTGTTTTGAAAATTTGATTCTTTTATAAGAAAGGAAAAGAAAAAAAATATTTACCTGGTACAATTCCATTGGTTGCAATAGCACTTAATGAAATACAAGTTGTGAAAGTCTACAAAAGAAATATCGAACCAATTTTAATAATAGTACTAAATGCTTTAAAAAATTCAGTCAAACATCATTAATTTGTGGTTATTAAATTATAAAATATTGAAGTAATCAACAAATTTTTAAAGAAAACACAAAGAAAAGTTTGTAAGTTTATCACTTGTGTTACATTATTTTAGTAGATTATAAAAAAAAGGATGAGTTAGTGTATTTTTTTATTATTATTATTTCTATTAAAATAATGTATGAAAGTCAAAGCATGGACCTAATTAAAATTATTGGAGAAATTAAATTAACATGTTTTCTCCTCCAAAGTATCTAAAATTCCAACTGTGAGTTTAAATAATGAATGGGATTAATAAATCGGTTAAAAATAATAAAAACTTTGTTCACATGATGTAACAATAAGCTTTTAAAATTTCTTAAACCAATTATTTAACTTCTATTACATTTTATAAAAAGCGAATATAAAATATTTTATACTTTTCTTAACAATCAATGTAACGGCTAACTTTTTATTTAAATACTAATGTAAAACTCAGTAATTCACTGTCACAGCTAAATCGAAAACAAAATCTATTTATAACTCTTTATTCTTAATTTCTTACCACAAAAATGTTTCAGTTGCATGATTAGACTAATTCTCACAGTCTTTTTGGCGATTAGCTTTCATCAAGTTATTTTTCAAATTCAATATTGATTNAATACTAATGTAAAACTCATTAATTCACTGTCACAGCTAAATCGAAAACAAAATCTATTTATAACTCTTTATTCTTAATTTCTTACCACAAAAATGTTTCAGTTGCATGATTAGACTAATTTAAAATGTTTCAGTTGCATGATTAGACTAATTCTCACAGTCTTTTTGGCGATTACCTTTCATCAAGTTATTTTTCAAATTCAATATTCATTAAAGGGGTTTGGCTTTGTTTTTGGTTACTACTTTATCTTTTGATAAATTGTCAACTGTGGATCTCTTCTCAGTTAGGAAACTATCTGTTGGGAACAATTCAATTACTTATTCATTTGGCTTTTGATTAGGCTGGTCAAGGTTATCACCCATGACACCTGTCCTTACTGATATTATTAGGCAAAATTTATTATTTCACTTACGAAGTTTTTTGTATAAAATATTCCTTAATTTTGTATCTCGAGCTCTACAACCGCTATTGAATAAAAATTTTACTATGATCCTGATTTCATCATTATCTTCAATTATATCATACAACTACAACCGTACCATATTTTGTCATAATAGTTCATATATTCTAAATTTTATTTTAATGTAAGTAACAAAAATTTTTTCACTTACAACACAACAAGATAAAAAGACAACAAGAAATGCAAGAGGCACACCAGCAGTACCAACGATCCAGCTCAATCGGATGAAGAAAATAACACCTAAAATATTCTGTATACATGGCAAGTAAACTCCAGCAACTGTTCCTAAATTTGCTTTCTGAAAGTCAAATATAATAACGTTGAAATATTTAAAAGAAGGAAATTAATTTCCAAATGTAAGTGGAAAATCACCACCAACTATAGTTATGAGAAAATAAACTAATTACTTTGGGAGCTGCAGATATGTTTTCCGATACACTTGGTATGGCAACATTATAATTGGCTAAAGAATTGAGCAATGTGGCCACCCGCGGTCTTTCTGGCATCTCCTCCTAAAAAATTATTTTTTATAGAGAAATATTATAGATAATTATAAAAAAATAAAAATAAAATATTCACAATTTTAAAGTCTATTAATATATTTATAATTCCATTAAAATTCATAATTTATTTTAAAATAGATATGAATAATGTATATTTTAGACAAATTATGTGTAAAATGTGGTCTTTCTGGCATCTCCTCCTGAAAAATAAATTTTGACAGAGAAGTATTAAAGATAATTATAAAGAAAAAAAAAAGAAAATATTCACAATTCAAATTTTGTTAATGGACATATCATATGTCTATTAATATATTAATAATTCCATTAATATCCATATTTTATTTTAAAATAAAGATAAATAATGTATATTTCTAACAAATTATGTGTAAAATGTTTCAGTTTAAAAAAGAGTTAATCAGTAAATTAAATATCCAGATTTTGTTTTTAGTTTAACCAGGGTTACTGCACTAATCTAGAAAAAAAATCTGTGTTTTCCCTGTACACATTATACACAATATACTAAGAGGAAATACATAATCACTGAGCTCTTGCGTGAGCTAGTTTGGGTAAAACTAGTTTTAATTGCTCTAAAAACTTGAGAAAAATAGTGCAGCTGAACATACTCAAAATAAATAATGCTATAGTAAATGAAATAGTTTATAGTTATTAAAATATATATATAGTTTAGTATATAGTTGATATATAGTTTAGTATAACTGAAATATCATCCTTAAATATCCCATAGATTGTGCTTTGAGTGGTCACCATTTATTAAAAGACTATAATAAGAAATAAAGTTACCTGCATTTTCCCTAGTAAAACCTCAAAATTTCCTGCATTTTTTCAGGTTTAAAACTATGTTGCTTGTTTCAGTGAGTTTATATTGCTTTCTGAGAAGGCAATATATTTTTCAATCATCAAATATATCTTTTTATGTGCTGCAAAAATTTTATGTAATATGATTCATTGAACATTCACTATCTTTTGAACAGATGACTTCAACTTTAGCATAGTAATGTCCATGAAGAATCTAAACATAGTTTCACCAAACAAAGTGAGTATGAGTCCTGATGGTTGGATAAATATTTATAATGAGCAGCTTTTTTACCTTTTAATCATAATATCTTCTGGCATTTAACAAAATAAAATTTTAGTGATTACATCAGCAAGACTCAGTGTTGCCAGATTGGGCTACAAGTAGCGGATTGGGCTACTTTTAAAAGTCCCCGCTACTGAAAATTGAATTTTCGCTACTTGCTACTTTTTGGGCTACTTATTATTTTTCGAACGCTACAAATCTTAAATATTCGCTACTTTTTTTCCTTACTGAAATACATATATATATATTAATTTTTTCCCTTCCCATTATAAAATGATTCTGAATGTTTGCAGCTTCTTTACCATTTTTAAAAAGGACATTTTTGTTGTTGTTACTGAAAACGTTCTCGCTTCAGTTTTGGATTCTTGATATGTTTTACTGATGGAGTCTATAATCTTTCCATGTTTATGTTTCAAATCGTAGACTCGGGAAATCGCAAAGATATATATGGAAAAATGCACGGAGAGTATGATGGGGAAAATGTTTTTTAACTCCAACTATTATTAATCGTTTATCTTCTGGAGAAAAAAAATCACGTTACTCGCTTTGAAACTCAGAAAAATTAAATCCAAAGTCATTTTACCTGATGAATGAAAATAGTTGTTGTGAATGACAATGAGTTTCCAAAAAATATCGTACTGTTAAATGCTTTTTAGTGAATTCATTTCACTTTTGTAAATCACGATCTATTCACAGTTGCACGAAAAATAGGAAAATTTTTATATCTCTCTAGAGCAGGGATGGGCAAACTACGGCCCGCGGGCCAACTGTGGCCCG